TGTTAGGTGTGGTGCAGAGGTAGGAGGGCCGGTATGGGGCCAGGCCTGGTTCAATCTGTGGCCTATGGATTGTGATCTCAGAGGGACCCCAGTTCCTCACGGGGAACAATTGCCCAGGGCTGCCAAAAGCTGGCTTGACAAATGAAGTACTTGACAGTGGACGTCAGGACCTGGGGCTCAGGCCTGGGATTGCTCTCCCCCTAGAAGTGACTCCCAGTGGTAGGTATCAGCCTGGCCTGCCCATGTGTTCCAACACAAATCTTGCTGCCCCCTCTGGCGCCACCCCACTCCCCCTCCTGAATTCCCAGATGGCTGTAATTAAAGTTTGCTTTGCTTCCATTTTCTCAAAATAAGCCTGGCCTACCCACCAGGTCAGTACCGGATGCAGACCGGCCTGGTTTATGGCAGTCCCATGTCTCGACAGGGTAGATGTGCCTTAGCACCTGGTACTTGGCTCAGGGGCCCTCCCAGCCACTACATCTTCAGGTGCCAAGTCCTGGGAGGCAAATCTCTACATCCCCATGAGCATCTTTATCCCTTTTCTGGAAACCCTGTCTCCTGGGCACCCAGGGAGCCCAGGGGAAAGGTAGCTGGCTCTGTATAATCTTTCTGAGGGCCCAAGGACCACGAGAGATCTGACTGTTTTCTGTGTGGAGATGGCCCCTTCTCTCTCAGCTGCAGGCTTCTCTTTAGTGGGGTTCATACCACAGTGGGACTGGAGCGTCAGACAGTAGGCAGGTGTGCTCAGCCGGCACATGGTAGGTGCTCAGCTGAGCTGGGAAGCACGGGAGGTTGTTGATTGTAATGAAATCGCCCCACATTAGCTCAGGATGTAATAGAAATGGGTTAAATTAAGATGTAAGGGTTAGTTAATAAGAAGCCTAAGCTAATAGGCCAAGCAATGTTTTAATTAATACAGTTTCTGTGTGATTATTTTGGGCCTGGGTTTCCAGGAAACCAATAAGTGATCTCTGCCTACAGAAGTGAGGGAGTTGGAGAGAACAACATATTTTTTTGTTTGTTTTTGTTTTTCGAGACAGGGTTTCTCTGTTGCTTTGAAGCCTTTCCTGGAACTAACTCTTGTAGACCAGGCTGGTCTCGAACTCACAGAGATCTGCCTGCCTCTGCCTCCCGAGTGCTGGGATTAAAGGCATGCGCCACCACCACCACCGCCTGGCCGAGAAAACAACATTTGAGGTAGAGGGACAGTACACTGGGTGGCCTAGAGCTAAGGTGCAAAACCATCACCCTGGAATGACTCCGGCCCCTGGAGCCCACAGGAGCCTGGGTGGCCGTGGGTTGAATGCCTGTCAACCATATATTGGGGCCATTTCCTTTCCCAGCCTTTCAGGCTGCTTTTCCTCACAGAGCAGGCTGGAGTTGCTCTTCTAATTAACTCTCCAACAAACCACCCCGCGGGGCCCTCTGACGTTGCCTCAGCACCTCTCACCTCCTGGCTTGGCAAGGAAGGAGCCACGATGCTCCCCAGCACAGACGCCATGCTTGCTCGCATGCAAAGCCAGTGACCCTCTTTTTCCGAGGCAGCCTCCCTGGCAGCCACCTTTGAAGTGTCTTCTGGCCCCCTCCTGGGAGGCGGCTGACTGTTCTTTGTTTACCGGGTTTGCAGCACCTGTGTCCACCCTGGGGTCCCAGTTGCAGAGCCAGCCGGGCACCGCCTGCCCTTGCCTAGGCCCCTGCCCACCCTCCTAGCAAGGGCTCAGAAGCCCTATGCCAACTGTGCTGCCACGGAAATTTAGAAAACATCTTAAAACGGAACCTGGCAAGGCGGTTGCTTTTTAAAAAGTTTCGTAAAGCTGGGTTCTCTCCAATTTTAAATTAGAACAAGCTTCAGGAAAGAAAATTGGGGAAAACAGAGGGAAACTGAAGGAGGAACAGTTGCGCTGAGTTCCGAGGACAAACATGCTCGCCAATTAGACGGCTGTCTTTGGGGCCTGTGCCTTTTGTTTGGTTTTTCCGAGACAGTCCCAGGCAGCCCAGCCAGCCTTGAACTCCCTGTATAGCCAAGGACGGCTTTGAACTCACGACTCTCCTGCCTCCACCTCCCAAGTGCTGAGGTGACAAGCATACACCACCGCATCTGACTGGGACCTAGTCTTTTAACTTTTTTTTTTTTTTTAATAATTTCTGTTTGTGGTTTCTGTGTGTGTGCACATGAGGCCGACTTGGGGTGTTGTTCCTCAGTGGCTGTCTACTTTGCTTCTTGAGACAGGAGTCAAGGCTCAAGAATTCAAGTTGGCTGACTGGCCAATGAGCCCCAGGGTTATCCTGTGTCCACCCCGACTTCTGGCTACAGGCATGCATCCCAGCACCCAGTTCTTTACGCCAAGGATTCTAACTCAGGCCCTGGCGCTCTCCGTCAGGGTCTCCTTTATGACCCCGCACAGTGCCTTGGGTCTTTTCTTCTTTATCACTTTGACTCTAACTTTCCTGGAGTCTTCCGCTCTGCTGTCGATCACTGGCTTTGGTCACGGTGAGAACCGCTGTCCTGGAGGTCCCTTTAGCCATTTCTTCAGATCCTCAGTTTTCCCAAGTCTATGCAATGCCTTGATGATTGGTCTGCGCCTTTTTAGGCCACGACCCTCCCACCCACGAAGGCCTTTTTGTCAGTTGCTGGGAATATTCCTGCGGCTCCTCATCCCTGTCACCAAACTGCTTCCCAAAGGGACAGTATATTCACTCTAAATTTTCCTTTTGTTGTGGGGAAATACACATAGCTTAGGAGTGGATCCACTTTTAAGTGTGTGCAGTTTGGGGTCACAAACACATTCCCCCTGCTCTGAAGCTGTACCGAGGGCTTTCAACTTAAGAAACAGAGTAAGCTGCCCTCCTCCAGTCCCTGCAACCCCTTATAAAATGTATATTTTTTTAAAAAAATATTTGTTTTACTGTTTAATTATGTATATGAGTGCATATGTCTGTGTGTGGGCATGTACACAGGAGCAAAGGTGCCGAGGAGGCCAGAGAGGTGTCGGGTCCCTTGGTGCTAGAGTTACGGACAGTTGTGAGCACCCCAGTGCTGGGAACTCTAGTACTCTGTGAGAGCCGAATACCAGGTCCTGTACTACCGGCATGTGTGTGTGGTGTGAGTGTGTGGGGTGTGGCGTGTGTGTTTGTGTGGTGCATGTGGGGGGTGTAGAACTGTATTGTGTATGCTGTGTGTGTGTGGTATGCATGTGATGTATGTGTGTGTGTTGTGTGTGTGGTATGTATATGTGAGGGTGCGTGTGTGTATATGTGTGTAGTGTGCGTATGTGGTATGTATGTGTGTGGTGTGTGTGTGCATGTGTACATATGGAAGTCAGGGCAGGTCAACAAGTGTCTTCTTTCGACAGAGTCCCTCACTGAACCGAAAGCTTGCTGTTAGGCTGACTGGCACTAAGTGCTTGGGGTCTCCCTGTCTTTGCCTTCCCCTACTCCCGTCCACTCCATTCTGGGGTTACAGGTACTTGCAGCCCTGCTTGACTTTACACGAGTGATGAGATTTGAACTTGGGTCTTCACGCTTGCCGAGCGGGTGCTGCTATCTACTGAGCTGCCCTCGAGGCCCTCCTGGCACTCTCTCTGTGTGTGCGATGCCAGGCATGTGGGCAGTGTTGATCTGACTTGACACACTCCTTCCATCCAGCAATGCACCCTCGGGGCTTGACTGTACTTTAGCCCAGGGGTCAAGTTGTCCCACTTTCCCAAGCTGAACAGCTGTCCCTCGCATGGCAGGACCATCTGTGTGACATGTGCTTGGCTGTCCTCAACCGTGGGTGCTGTGAACACAGATGCACATGTGTCTTCCTTGATGCCTCCCTCAGCTTTTTTAGGATGTGTCACACTGAGCCGCCTGCCAGGCTGTCGGGTAAGGCTGGCTTCCGCTTTTCTAGTGACCTGCTCCTGTTAGCCACAGCGGTGGCATTTCTCAAAATTTACCATGCACAGAGTGGCCTCTAGGTTGTAACCAACACTTGCTATTGCCTGGTATGAGTTGTGTGTGTGTATGGTGTGTGTGCGGTATATGTGGTATGCGTGTGTGGTGTGTGTGGTGTGTGCGTGTGGTGTGTGTGTGGTGTGTGTATGTGGTGTGTGTGTGTGATGTGTGTGGTGTGTGCATGTGCATGAGAATGCGAAGGACACAGCCCAGCGGTACAGAGCTTGCTTAGCTGAGGTGAAGTGCTGACTTTGCCTCCCATCACTTGAAAGAAAAAGCGAACAGGTTCACGATCCAGCTCCCCTTAGCTATCATTTCACTTATTCCACAGTTTCACCCTGACATGCAAACACTGCTAACCTGTTTCCTGTCTGTGGCTTGGCTGTTTCTGGGCACTCAGCGTGAGGTCAGCTAGCAGAGCCTTCTGTTCTAGCGGCTTCGGCATCACCTCTCCACGGCCACGACTGGGTGGCGCATTGAGTTCCTAGTGGTAGATCACACCAGTTGGCAGGCATCGCAGCTGTCCTTGTGCTGCTGTGGACATGCGCATCTGAGTCTTTGGGGGTCACACGGGTGCTTTTATGTTGCCCTTGGCCACCAGCCTGTGCCTGGGATTCTTGGGCTATATACCAACCCTGTTCAGCATGCTGACCTGACACCAGCTTGCTTCCCAGAGTGCCATTTCCATCTGTACCACCAGTTATCGGGGCCTCACTAACCACACCCCCTCCATGGTACTTAGTGCTAGTCTTTATTTTAATTAATTCATTAATTAACTAAGTTTTTGATTTACTTATTGAGCAAAAGCATTCTGCATTGCTGGTCAGTGTAGAATGGCTCAGACTCTCATACAAAGGGGTGAGTGGAGCTGGATAAAAGACGAACAAGTAGCTGGGAAGCCTGTGGTGCCGCCCTCCCCATGTTCCACTGATTGCATCAGCAGTTGATGGTGGCACTCCTGCCCACAGCTCCAGGGAGTTCCTGCTCCCCGCCCCGCACCCCCTCATTCCAGGGCTGTGTACCCATTCCCTTCTATAAGAGGGTCTGCATCTGCCTGGCTGCAGGGAAGGCCTACGAGATCACCTACGTGAGACTGAGGTTCCACACCAGTCGGCCCGAGAGCTTTGCCATCTACAAACGCACGCGCACCAACGGACCCTGGGAGCCCTACCAGTACTACAGTGCCTCCTGCCAGAAAACCTATGGCCGTCCTGAGGGTCACTCCCTGTGGCCGGGTGAGGATGAGAGGGTGGCCTTCTGCACCTCTGAGTTCAGCGACATCTCCCCCTTGAACGGGGGCAACATTGCCTTCTCTACCCTGGAGGGCCGTCCCAGTGCCTACAACTTTGAGGAGAGCCCTGTGCTGCAGGTCAGTGGGCAACAGGGCCTAGGGAATCATGGGGAGATGGGCAGGCCTAGGATGGGAGACAGCAGGCCTGCCAGAAGAGCCAGGACCTGAGACCTCCTGGCTGTCAAACCTCAAACCCTAGAATCCTTCTGTGGGTGCCTGGTTCTCACTTTCACTTTTTTATTTTGTTTTGTCTTGTTTTTCGAGCCATGATTGTCCTGAACTCACTCTGTAGACCAGGCTGGCCTTGAACTCAGAGATTTGCCTGCCTCTGCCTCCTGAATGCTAGGATTAAAGGTGTGAGCCATAACTGCTCCCTGCTATTTATTTATATATTTATTTATTTGTATTTTAATGGAAGAGAGCCAGTGTGGCAACTTATTCTTGGGATCTCAGCACCTTATAGGCTGGAGCAGGACGGTCCCGAGTGGCAGGCCCACCTGCAGCCTGCCTGTTTCCCCCATCCGTGTGAGGCTGCCTCAGGGATAATGTGTTCTACTTGGTGGCATAGTCATGGGACTTCCACTGGTGATTCATTTTGTGTCCCCGCCCAGGCCTTGGCTTTCTGGTCCTCAGAGGCCTCAGCATCTCCTGGGGTCTTTCTGAGAACACAGAGCCCCTGGCTACAGTGTGGCGTGGAGATTGTATGCTTGCCCAGCACGCACAGGGCCCTGAATTTGACACCAGCACCATAAACGAGAAGAAACGCAGGGGTCCCTATCTGCACAGCTCAGAGGGGGGAGCATTTGCCTAGCAGGATGGAAGACCTGGGGTCTCTCCCCAGCCGCATATAATCTGGGTATGGTGGGGCACACCTGTATAATCCTAGCTCTCGGGAAGTGGAGTTCTGGCCATCTTGGGCTACATGTAAGGGCAGTCTGGAATGAATGCAACCCCAACAGAAGAAGAATAAAAGGGAGGGTGAGGGAGAAGAAGAAAGGAGGGAGGGAAGGGAAAGGTGGACTTCAGCCTTGCCCCGACCTCACAGCCAGACCTGCCTTCAACAGACCCCTGAAAGCACGGTGACCTTTGCAAATCCCAGCCGCAGGTGACTTGGAGAGTGACAGGGACCCGCAGCCTCAATGCTGTACAGACATCTCAGGACTGAGTCCTGCTGGGGTGAGGAGCCACTGTGCCAGGAGCTCATTTTCCATCCTGACGGCCTGATTGCTAAGCCAGGGGCTCCTGGGCTGAATTAAAATGTTGATTAATATTCAGTCGGAGCTGCCTCTGATTATAACAGCAGGCGGATGGAAATGTCACTCTCCACGTGCATCCCCCACTTCCTCACCACGCGCTTCCATGGGGAAGCTGCTCATCCAGCCCGTGATCAGCAAGTATTTATCAAGTGTCTGCTCTGTGCCAGGCGGAGCCCAGGGGCTCTGACTTGTGGGGCTCATGTTCTGGGGTGTCAGTTCTCTGCATATGAGGAATTACGGGGAGAAGGTAGGCAGCCTGCATACAAGGGTCTCAGATGGGCTGCCTCAGCCACTGTCCACATGCACACACACACAAGCATGCACACACATACACACGCATGCACGCGTGCACACACACACATACACACGTGCATACCACTTCAGTGCAGATGGCCCCACACCATGTGGTTGACATTGTCACCCTCATTTTTACACCTCAGGGAGCCTCTAACCTGCTGTATTTTACAGATGGGGACAGAGGCACCAAAGCATTGGGGCGTCTCACCAGAGCCGTACAGCCCCAAGACTGACCCAGGTCTCCTGATTCCTGGCCTCCCCTCAGGATTTGTCTCAGCCGGGCCTGTCCCTGTGCCCCAGGACCACCTCCACTTCCCGGGGACCAGGGAGCAGGATTTCCCAGTGGAGCAGGCCAGGAGCACTTGCTGATGGTGTCCCTGTCCCCTTCCCCAGGAGTGGGTCACCAGCACTGAGATCCTGATCTCTCTGGACCGGCTCAACACATTTGGAGACGACATCTTCAAGGACCCCAGGGTGCTCCAGTCTTACTACTACGCTGTGTCTGACTTCTCTGTGGGCGGCAGGTAAGGCTGCAAGTGGGCCCAGAACCCTGGGGGGAGGCCGAGGGAACAGTCCCCATTCTTCTGAGAGCTGCAGAGTTGCTAAGGTGCCTGGTGTGACCCGGATGAGAAGGGGTGAGCAGCACCCAGCCCCCTGCCGGCATTGGAGGCCTTGCTGCCGGCTCCATTCTGCCTCCACAGACCACCCCAACAGGTCCCCACATCACCTAGCCCTCACCGGGAAATGAGAAGAGACTGTAAGTTCCTACCCCAAGCCTGTGGTGTGGAGGACACAAATCCAGTGGCTCTCAATAAATACATCCGTGTACACCAGAATAAAAGCCCAGGGTGGCCTCAGCGTCAGCTCTGCAGAACAAATGATGGGGGCACAAGACAGTCCAGGCAGAAGACTCCGTGATGGGGAAGCTGAGCCTGAGGACGAAGACTGTGAGGCTGGAGTGAGGACAGGGCCGTGGGCAGAGTTAATTCCCGTCCCTCTGTCACTAGGGAGTCATCGAAGGCCTCAGAATGTCAAAACACTCAACCCCCGTTGTTCGTTGATTTCCCCCACCGCTGTGACAAAATGCTTGACAAAGACAGCTTAGGGGAGGGGAGACTAACTTTGGCCCACCAGAGCAGTTTGGGGTCCAGTCCATCAGGATGGGATGGCCCAGTAGCAAGAAGTGAGGCAGGGAGGCTCAGCTGACTTCCTGCTGTTATCCACTCTGGGACGCTAACCCAGGGATGGTACTGCTGACACTCAGCTGGGTGGTTCCTGCTCAGTTAGCCCTCATCTAGAAACTCTAGAGGCATGCCCAGAAGGTGACCTAGGTCCTGCCAAGTTGACGATAGGAGCTGCTGCACCTTGGCATAGCAGTATGCGAAAGGGTGAGAAGATGAGGGGTGGAGACAGGGTGCTGGGACTGTGCAGGCACAGCCAGGGCCAGGAGCCTGGGGTGACAGCTAACTAAGATGAGAAAGTAGCTCCAAGTGTGAGTGAGAGGCTGTGGCTGTGGGGAACGGTGAGGATGGCCCTCAGACGCTGGGCTACCATGATTCACGGGTGCTTGGGTGATGTTAAAGACAGAGAAGTCAGGGAAGAGTGTGTGCCCAACAGTTGGCGCTTTGAGATGCCTGCTTCATGGAAGACAGGTGTGAAGGAACCCGAGTGAACTCTGGTGAGGAACTTCAGATGAATTCTCTGACGTGCGAGCTGGGTCAAACCTCCCAGCCAGACTCCAAACACGGTGGCCATGACCTCCATCTGCTACGCTGTTGTCAGGGCCTGCAAGCCAGAACACATCTGGAACACAGCTGTGGGACCCAGACCACCCTTGGCTCCACAGCTGTCTGTGAAGGCTGCCTTCAGGAAGGAACAGCACCTTTCGCTGGGTCAGAAGGATTCTGAGGAGTGGGAAGCTTGCGAGTTCCCATGACCTCCATCTTCTAAAACTGATTGGTGTTAGACTCAAGCCTGGTCACAGTGGGATGTTGCCGCACCCCTTGTGCCCATGAGCAAACAGTACCATACTTCCATAGAATACTGAGATTAGAGACGGCACAGGGGGCCCTGGAAGTGACCAGTCATCCATCACTGCCCTCTGAGGACAGAGGGAGGGTGGGACTTGTCTTTGGGGAACCAGGATCGGCTCTGGCTTACAGCTTTGCCCCTTGGGTCTTCCATTGTTGTGTCCTGAGCCTGTTTCACCATCTGGGAAGCTAGGGTACAGAGTCCTTGCCACCTCCAAAGACTCGAGCAAAATCTGGAACTGTTTGCTCTGTCTGGGACCATCTCAGTGCAAGCCAGGAGCAGGCCATGGTGGGCTCTGAGCCACAGAAGGATGTTGGCCACAGAAGGTCAGTTCTCATCCAGTTCTCCACATTGCCCACCCCCAAAGCGCTTCTTGGTTCTTGCTGAATTCACCCATCTCTTGACCTTGTGGGTGTCATGAGAACATAGACCCAGGGCTGCCTACCATGGCTGAGACTATGGGGACTTCTTGAGAGCTGACCCCTGCACGGGGCACCTCTTTCTTACCCTTTTAGACACAATTGCAGAATTACCTGTCATAACCTCAGTCCCTAAGAACTGACCCTGTGACCACTTGTCCACCCCCACCAGGGGACTGAATTGGCTTCTCCCTGGGTCCCAAGACCCCTGAGCTGGGACTCCACCCAAGCAGAGACCTTCTGTGATAGCCACTTACTAGTTGGCAGCCACGGATGGACAGCCTTCCAGGCCTCAGTTTCCCGGTCTGCTCAAAGGGGACAGCAGGAGGTTGGTGACGACAGGTGTGCTCGTTAGTCAACACAACACAGACTGGAGTCATCCGGGAAGAGGGAACCTTGACTGAGAAAACAGCCCCCTCAGACTGTCCTGTAGAGAAATCTCAGAGACATTTTCTTGATTTGATTGATGTGGGGGATCCAGCGTACCCTGAGTGGCGCCACCTCTGAGCACGTGATCCTGGGCTGTATGAGAAAGCAGGCTGGGCAAGTCATGGGGAGCAAGTCTGTAGGCGGCCCTCCTTCATGGCCTTCCTTCAGTTCCTACCCCTAGGTTCCTGCACAGACTTCCCTTCATACTGGGCTGTGATGGGGATCTGTGAGGTGAAATAAACCCTCTCCTCCCCAAGCTGCTTTTGGCTGTGGTGTTTATCACAGAGTAGGAAGCCATGGAGCATTTGGGAACCCCAGTGCTCTCGTTATCACAACGCCCAGGTGTGTAGTCGGGGCTCAGGGAACCCCACACTTGCGCCACAATCAAGGGGTGCCTGACAGTGACACCCTCGCTTCTCGCAACGTCTGTGGCAACTGTCTCCAGGTCCCCCCTCCTGGTGCTTTCCTCAGGTGCAAATGCAATGGTCACGCCAGTGAGTGCGGCCCCGACGAGGCTGGTCAGCTGGTGTGCCACTGCCGGCACAACACCACGGGTGTGGACTGCGAGCGTTGTCTGCCCTTCTACCAGGACCGTCCGTGGGCCCGTGGCACCGCAGAAGACGCCAATGAGTGTCTACGTGAGTGTCCCTCGGGCACAGGCTAGTGATGCTCGCTGAGAAACAATCCCCCAAACCTCACAGCGGGGCCTGCTCCTGGGTGGGCCTGGCAGGCAGTGTGGAGTCCTGAGCTCTGAAGGAGAGTTAAGGGAGGCTGAGGGGAGCACCAATCCTCCCTCACAAGCCGTTCCACCAGGACAAGTCCACCCAGGGAGGCGCCTGTGGTCGGAGGGCAGGAAGGTCCCCAAACCAGACTTAACCCTTTGTTTTAACTGTTCCAACCTTGGCAGCTAATGAAATCCAGTCCCCCCACCCCACCCACAGGGCCCTGACCCGCCTACCCCAGCCTTTCCCACACTCCCCCACAGTCCCCAGAAGTCCTCTGATGTTCCAGCTGTGTGTGCTGTGGCTCTGCCTGCCTAACCTCAAAGAGACACTGGTAAAGGGAGAAGGGGCCCTGGAACCTTCTATAGGGACGGTGGGAAGGGAGGAGCCTTCCCAGGGGGGTGTACCGCTGTACCCCACTTTCCCTTGTTGGCCTCGTCTCTCCTCGCAGCCCTCTGTTCTGCCTCGGGCTTCATGGGTGCCGTGCCTGAAGCCAGACACAGAAGTCCACATATAGCCCCGTGGCTTGCCTCCTGGGCCTGGGCCGCAGTCTGCCTGGGGACCATGAGAAGAAATCAACTTTGTCCTCGGGACAGACAGCTTTTTCCTATCTGCAGTAGCTGCCCCAGGGGGCGAATGCAGTGCTAAGTTCCTCTTGGCTTGCTGGCCTGCCTCCCCCAGGGAAGCTGCACTGCTGACTCTCTGCTTGGCCCAAGCCCATGCCTGTTTCTATGGTAGGGATGTTACATGCCAGACAGCCCCCTGCTGTGTCTCATTTCTGTTCTCATAGTCACCAATCTGGATTTTCATGCCTGACCCTTCACTTCTGACTCCTAGCCCAGGCAACCTCTGAACCCCAAATTCTTTTTCTCTCACATCTCCCGAATTCATTCCTCCTGTCTCTGGGCAGCCCTGCTGCCTCTCCTCTGGATGCTGTCACTCTTCTCATCGCTGTCTCTAGCTTCTAGCCGCCACTACCTACAGAGAATGGCCTTCAAAGAGTGCCCTCCCCTCATTACACCTTGCCCCTCCCTGAATATCCGGGCTCCCAGCCTCCTGGCACCTCTCTTTCCCGGCTGCCTTGCCACATGCCAGTCACCTCACGGTATGCCCATCGGCTGCCTATCACATGGCCTGCTGTCCACAACCAGCCTCTTGACACACACACACACACACACACACACACATACACACCGAGCAGACACTGCTTCTCTGGTCCAGACCTTTTCCTCCTGGCCAGCATTGGCTTTCTGCTCCATTATCTCCCCTATCCCAGAAATTCTCCTCCCAGCCAGCACGGGCTTCCTGCTCCATCATCTCCCCTATCCCAGACCTTCTCCTCCTGGCCAGCATGGGCTTCCCGCTCCATCATCTCCCCTATCCCAGACCTTCTCCTCCTGGCCAGCACGGGCTTCCTGCTCCATCATCTCCCCATCCCAGACCTTCTCCTCCTGGCCAGCACAGGCTTCCTGCTTCATCATCTCCCCATCCCAACACGTTTCTGACTCCCTCCAGGAAGACCTCAGTTCGGATTATTTATTATAGGGACCACCTAGTTCTTACAGAGAATCCTGTTTGGGAATATCAGATGCCTGGGCTCAGTGGCCTTGGTCAAGCTGAGCCTGCCGGCCATCCTGGACTCTGGCCCTTGGTGTTAACCACTTCCTGTTGCTTTTACAAAATGCCTTACACAATAGGATCGGGAAGGAGAGGCTTGTTTAGGCTACAGACTGAAGGTGCCGTCCCCTCGTGATGGTGGCAGGATTGTGAGGCACTGTCACATCGCTTGTGCAGCCAGGAAGCAGAGACTGGTCACTATTGGTGACCAGCTTGCTTCCAAGCTCCTTTTCCGGTCCAGGACCCCAGGCCAGGGCATGGTGCTACCCATATTTAAGTTGGGTCTTGCCGTCTCAGCCTAATGTGAGAGGTTTGTGTCCTCTGTGATTCTTGGTCTTGTCAGGTTGGCAGGATTAATCAAGCACACCCTCTCTGAGATGCCTGCTCCAGAGAGCAGAGCCCCTCCCCCGCAGAGCCTGTCACTCATGCACACGACCTCCATCTTTCACAGCCTGCAACTGCAGTGGGCACTCCGAGGAGTGCACGTTTGACAGGGAGCTCTTCCGGAGCACTGGCCACGGTGGGCACTGCCATTACTGCCGTGACCACACATCTGGGCCACACTGTGAGCACTGTGAGAGGAACTATTACAGATGGGGCCCCAGGACACCATGCCAACCCTGTGACTGCCACCCAGCAGGTGAGTGGCCCCAGCATACCCTTTTCCCATCTCCCATCATCCTCCTGCCTCCACTGCCGTGTGTCCCTCCTCCCCAGGCTCCCTGAGTCTCCAGTGTGACGACTCGGGCACCTGCCCCTGCAAGCCCACAGTGACAGGTTGGAAGTGTGACCGTTGCCGGCCCGGGTTCTACTCCCTCAGCGAGGGCGGCTGCAGGTGAGGATGTAGGGACGGGTGGCCTGTGTTGACCATGCTGTGCGTTTGGGCTAAATCAGACACAGAAGGAAAGAATGCTAGCTGTCCCCACTCTCCACCTTTGTCTCACATGTTCTCATCCGTAGCTACCAGACCCCAGACTTTCGAGAACTAGAGCTGAAGACAGGGAAGAACTAACCTGCCGGGTGGGGGTGGGGGTGAATGGGGGTGGGGCGTGACCGGAGAGACCCAGAGGTGGAGAGGGACAGAGTCCCAGGTTGAACCTGAGAGTGAGTCCTGGTGAGTAAGGGACACAGAGACACTCCAAGCAGGGGAGTACAGCCAAGGCTGAGGCAAGTGTCAGGTGAGGCTCAGGTCTGGAAGAAGAGGGCCTGGTGCAGAGGGGGCCTTGGGGGCTGAGGGCTGTTGTGAGCAGGGAGCCAAGGCAGGTGGCTATGCCAGAGGATATCGGAGGCTTCGGCAGGAGTGGGGCTGGCTCAGCAGAGGGGGAGGAAGCAGGCAGTTTCCAGAGTCCAAGTCTGTGGTGACAGAAGACTGAGGAGGAGGGAGGGATGGAGGCTGGTCCTTGTGGCAGAGGGCCAGGTGGAAGCTGGGCAGGGAGCCAGGCATTATATACATATTTAGGGTGTGTGGTGCCTGGCCATAAGGAGGGAGACCAGCGAGGGACCAGCAATCTGCCACAGGCTGGATCTTAGGAGAGGGGCCAGACGCTCACGGTGGAATACTGCACACTCAGAAGGACTTTGTGGGTGTAGTCTTACAGAGCATAGGCTGGCCTCGAAACCACTACAGCCAGCAGTGGTCTCCTGTCAGAGTTAGAAATGGACAGCTTTATATGGTGCTAGGGAGTGAACTTGGCTTCCCGCTTTCGAGACAAGGACTCTAGAGTCCCCTAAAGCACTTTTAAATGGACTTGCCAGGGCTGAGGAGATGGCTCATTAGGTAAGGTGCTGCTGCGCATGCATGAGGGTGTGAGTTCAATCCCCAGCCCCCAGGTAAACCCAAAAAAACCAGGTATAACAGTGCACATCTGTAAGCCCAGTGCCAAAGGCTAGAAGGCCAGCAAAGTCAAGCGGATTACAGGAGGTGGCCAGCCAACCAGTCTTGCCAAACTGCTGAGCTCCAGGTTCAGTGAGAGACCCTGTCTCAAAAAAATAAGGTGGAGGCCAGGCGATGGTGGCGCACACCTTTAATCCCAGCACTCAGGAGGCAGAGGCAGGCGGATCTCTGTGAGTTCGAGGCCAGCCTGGTCTACAAGAGCTAGTTCCAGGACAGGCTTCAAAGCCACAGAGAAACCCTGTCTAGAAAAACCAAAAAGAAAAAATAAATAAATAAAATAAAAAAAAAATAAGGTGGAACGCAAGAAACCTAACTTCAGTCTATGACCTCCATACGTACATGCACACACTTCCATGCACACGTGTACACACACAGGAAAGAAAAAACAAAATAAATGAACTTGGCTCTAGTGAATAACGAACACTGTCCCCATACATTTGAAAGACAGGAGAAGTGTGTTGGGTAGACATGGTGCACAGAAATGTCCACTGAAGCCAGGACCAGATCTCAGTGGTGGAGTAAGTGCCTGCCCAGCACGCAAAAGGCTCTGGATTCCATTCCCAAAACAACAAAAAAACAAAAATTCTGGAACTGACTGACCCTAGCTGCTTCCCAGGTCTTGGTCTTGGGACCTTTGCTCATATTAGTCCCCTCCCCTAGAGCATTTCCTTTTGCCAGCCCCGCCTCCTTGGCCTGTGTCACCCACCGCTAGCCACTCTCCAGTCCTCAGCTAAGGCGCCCACTGCTCCCCATCCTGCTTCCTCCCACTCTGCAAGGCTAGACCAGATGCACCTTCCTAGTCCATCTCCTTCACAGCACATAGTAGGGGCCGCCTGTTGGTATGTTCTCACTGGATCCTGGGGTCCGTGAGAACGGAAACCTTGTCTTAGCAGACGATGAGTGGGTCCTGGGGTCCATGAGAACGGGAACCTTGTCTTAGCAGACGATGAGTGGGTCCTGGGGTCCATGAGAACAGGAACCTTGTCTTAGCAGACGATGAGTGGGTCCTGGGGTCCATGAGAACGGGAACCTTGTCTTAGCAGACGATGAGTGGGTCCTGGGGTCGATGACAACAGGAACCTTGTCTTAGCAGATGATGAGTGGGTCCTGGGGTCCGTGAGAACGGGAACCTTGTCTTAGCAGATGATGAGTGGTGGGTGGTTGAGTGAGTAAACGTATGGGTGGGTGAATGGAGATGAAGAGACGATGAGAAGAAGGATGGGTGGATGATGGAGGTGGGTGGACAGATGCAGGAGAGAATGATGGGTGGGAAGTTAAGGGATCAAAGGATGAGTAAACAGATGGATGGATGGATGGATGCACCAATGGAGGGCAAGTGGGTGGATGCCAAGAGCGTGGGTGATGGGTGGATGGATAGATGGACCAGTGGAGGGGTGAATAGATAGGTGGACAGTGGGCAGATAGTAAGTGATAACATGGATGGGTGGATGGATGGATGGATGGATGGGCGGGCAGGTGGGCAGGCGGGCAGACAGACAGGTAGATGGATGGATAGACAGATGGATGGATGGATGGATGGATAGATGGATGGGTGGATGGATGGGTGGGTGAATAGATGGATGGACGGAATGGGTGGACAGGTGGGTGGATGCACCAGTGGGAGGTGTGGGTAGTGGGTGGGGCATCATTGCATGGGTAAATGAGGCACTTCCTGGTAAAGAAGTAAGGATGACACCAAGCACAGTCTCTTGGACAGGCCTATCACTGTTTCCTCCTGAGCAGGGAAGGGCATGGAGAGTGTTGAGGATGGACAGTCCACTCTGGAGTTGTTCAATAGACTGTGTTTTCTCTGTTTCTTTGGCAGACCCTGTACCTGCAATGTTGCTGGAAGCTTGGGAACCTGTGACCCCCACAGTGGGAGCTGCCCCTGCAAAGAGAATGTCGAAGGCAGCCTGTGTGACAGGTGGGGTGCGATCTACAAAGAGCTACCGGAAGTGATTGCGGAGTCTCTAGGGAGGCACCCAAGCTGTGTTATAAGGGGAAAGGCAGGGCAGGGTCCTCAGGGACTTGGACAAGCCTGTCACCCCAGGTTCTTTCTGAAACCCCAAGGGCCTTCTACTCAGGAAGATAGCCAAAGGCCCCATGGGATACTCTGATCCAATGCCACTGAGGGTTTCTTAGCTTAGGAAATACATCATTGCTTCACGATCAGAATCCTGGAAACAAACTCTAAACACATAGGAAAAGCATCTAATCCAGACAGCAAATACCCGGTGTCATATTTCAGCTCTTTTGCCTCACATCCATGGTAGATGTCACAGCTGTGACTGTCCTCCCATCTCACACCAGTGGCAGACATCACTAATGGAGAGCTGTCACAGCCCTCCCATCTCATACCAGTGGCAGACATCACTAATGGAGAGCTGTGACAGCCCTCCCATCTCACACCAGCGGCAGACATCACTAATGGAGAGCTGTGATAGCCCTCCCATCTCACACCAGCGGCAGACATCACTAATGGAGAGCTGTGACAGCCCTCCCATCTCACACCAGCGGCAGACATCACTAATGGAGAGCTGTGACAGCCCTCCCATCTCACACCAATGCAGACATTATTACTGGAACGCAACAATCTTAACCTTAGATCCTTCTTAATGCCTTGCTCCGAGAAGCCCCTACAAACTGAGCTAAGACAAGAGTCATCCTGAAGTCTCAAAGCAGGAACTATTTGAATAACAAAATCAATAAAGATGCGATTGCATTATGAGCCTAAGAATGGGGCAGATATCTTTAATGCCACATGATTGGCTAAATAAACAGATGACAGTGGGCAAATCTTTCTTCAGAATTGTAGATGACAGAGAGGGTGGAGTGGGAATCAGCCTAGAAGTGGCACGCCCCAGTGACTGCCCTGCCAACAGCAGCAAAGAATCCTGGCCTTAATGGGAACAGGCATTTGCATAGCCTCGAGATTCAGCTCTGGGAATAGTTACTAATTACAATGGTGGCTTCAAGCCGGTTGCAAGCAAGTTCTTTGATGTTTTCCCTCCTGGAAGGTTTTTTTTTAATTGTTTTGTGGGGTTTTGTGTTTTGTTTTTGAGACAGGTTCTCACTGAGCAGCCCAGGCTGGCTCCACGCTATTAGAGATCAACCTGCCTCTGTCTGCCTCCTGGGTGCTGGGATTAATTGTTGTGCTTCTCTCCACCCTTAATTTTTTTCTTTTTTGAGACAGTGTCTCAGGAGTCCAGGCTAGCCTTGAACTTGCTGTGTAGCTGAAAATGACCTTGAACCCCTCCCGAGTGCTGGGGTTACTGGTGTGTACCCCACTTCTAAAGACTAAACTGCAGCCACTGTTTCCACAAAAAACCTGGTGGGCAGATGGTAGCCGGGAGATAATGACCGGAGGCTGAGACAGGAGGACCGTCAAGAGCACAAGGCCAGACCAGAGTATAAAATAAGACCCTATTTCAAAACCCAAGAGGGCTGGAAGGCCGGCTCCACAGTTAAGAACACTGGCTGTCTTTTCAGAGCACCTACATGGTTGCTCTGAGCCATCTGAAACTCCAGTTTCAGAGGATTCAACACCTTTTTCTGGACTCCACAGGCAGCAAAAATGCACATAGACACAGTACATGGACATGCCTGCAAACAAGACACTCATAAGACAGTTTCAATTAGAATTTTTTTTCTTTTTGTTTTTCGAGACAGGGTTTCTCTGTAGCTCTGGAGCCTGTCCTGGAACTAGCTCTTGTAAACCAAGCTGGCCTCAAACTCACAGAGATCTGCCTGCCTCTGCCTCCTGAGTGCTGGGATTAAAGGTGTGCGCCACCACCACCTGGTTAAAATTTCTTTTAAAAAACAAAACAAACAAGAACAACAAAACCCAAAGTCTGTTGGCCCCTTTAGTGCCAGGCCAGCCCCTCAGGAGGCAGAGGCAGGAGGATCCCTGTGAGTTAAGGGCCAGCCTAGTCTACCTAGCAGGTTCCAGGGCAAGCAGAGCTGCCTAGTGAGACCCTGTCTCAAGCAAATGAACAAACACCCCACAGAAACGAAAGTGTCAAGATCACAGGCGAGGAAGAGGAGATGTTAGCAAATCAGAGGCGACAAGGGCATGGCTAAATGCAGTGTCAGTTCCTGGATCAGGGGAGTGTTAGTGAGAAAGGAAAGAAACCCTGACACAGCCTGGAGTTAACGTCGGGTGATGCTGATCTCTTGGCTTCGAGGTTGTGTATCAGCAGCAGATACACTGGCCCAGCAGGCACGGGACTGTCTGTCCTGTCTTTGTAATTCTTGTGACTCTAAAAGGATAATAAAAATTGAAATGTTCTTTTAAATTTCCCCAGGATTCCGAACAGTCTGGTTGGATCTCAGTCCTATCGCATCCTGGCTCAGAGATGTGACCCCGCCTCTCTTACAGATGCCGCCCTGGAACGTTTAGCCTGCAGCCCCACAACCCGGCAGGCTGCAGCAGCTGCTTCTGCTATGGCCACTCCAGGGTGTGTGCCCCCGCTGCCGGTTTCCAGGCACACCACATCCTCTCAGACTTCCGCCATGGTGAGCAGTGCACAGAAGCCGCCTTGGGGAGGAGGGGGTGTTCCTCCCCTGGCAGGGGTTTTCCCTTTGGAAGCTAGGATAGGGACAGCCCTTCCACCAAGGATCCTATGCCCTAAGCCACAGAGCCTAGGCTGGTAGTGTGAAAGGTGTCTTCCAGGACCTGCCTGCTGCCCCTCAGCTCCTTCCCCAACCTCCGCTTTTCCAGCCTCCAGGGCTCTATCCTCAGGGTGGTACCGGAAAACGGGGTGTGTCCGCAGGGACCCTGAGTCCTGTGGACAGCCTCCATTCACCCCCAGGAAAGTTGGTCTCCCTTAGTATATCTGAGTTCCAGCTTAGAGTCTTGGCCTCCAGGTATTAAGCACCTGCTGTATGCCAGGCCCTGCTGAGCTCCACGGTCCAGGAAATCTCAGGATTGCTGTAGGCAGGTGTTCTCATTCCCATGTTACAGACTAGATCCAGGCCTGCCTGAGATTGGTTCTGGCAGCCATGGTTGTGTGTTTGGAGCAAGGGGGATGGAACTCCAAGACCTGTAATCCATCAGAGCTAGTGTGCCCAGCCATGCTCCTCAGACCATTCCCGGACTCCTGAAAGTACAATCTGGAGACTGGTCTTTGGGCCTCCAGAAAAGGGGCAGTGCGCCCTCTGCTGGACACCACACAGAAAGCAGGACAGCTCGTGGCAATGGCTGGCCAGAACCTAGCATAGTGCATAGTCTCTATAGTCTCATAGGGCTTGTCTTCAGAACCCTAAGATAGCATGATAGGACTTGGGATGTGGTTGAGTTGGCAGAGTTCTTGCTGAGACTGTGCAAAGTTCTTCCAGGATGTGGAATCTCTGTCCTCCCTCGGGCCCAGCCCAGTCTTCAGAGAGTGGTCTGTCCCCACCATTCCTCTCTGAGACAGGGTCTCATCTAACCCAGACTGACTTCCAACCCCCTCCCACTTTAGAGCCCTGCAGGACTTGTCACTGGAGACCAGCCTTTGGGGTCTCGCGGTTGGGGCAAATAGTCTGTCTTTGGTGTTTAGGAGCTGACGGTTGGCAGGCCAGAAGTACGGGCTCATCAGAGCGTCCTCTGCAATGGAACCGGAATGGGATCCTCCTGCAAGGAGAGGAGGGACTCTCAGCACCAGGTAGGTAGCGGTCCCTACTGATCTCACCACCCAGGTTTCTGCCAGCTGCTCATAATACAGTACCTAAAAGACAGGTTAACTTCAGCTCGGTTCCTGTACGACTTGAGGTAGCCTTCCTGTAGACAGAATCCTGAGGTGGCCCACGACACCTTGTTCCTATGACGTCCCCTACCCAGATCAACCAAGGGGACCCCACCCCAGCCACTTCGCCTCATCCCAGTCATCTCCCAGAGACCACTGTCCAGACAGTGTGGCCTGACTAAATTTTCACTTCTAAACAGCTTACGAGAGGGGTTCAATTTCAGCGTGTGTTTAGGGGTACCTGCCACAACAGGGGCTGCCAAGTGACCATGGTCTTCATGGCTGAGAACACACACATTTATTCTCTCGGTGTTACAGGCTGTGTTCCTTCAGGCCGCCCTAGAGCAGAGACCATGTCTCCCCTGCAGCATTTACACCCTCCCCGACATTCAAACCAGCGGCTTACATTCACAGCTGACCGCCCTCCAGGGGATAATCCTACAGACCTCCCCTATTTCACAGCCAGAGGACTAACACCCCCCAACTCTGTTTACAGCCTTAATCCTTTTTGCCTGGCCAAATCCCCTCTGTGCAGACCCATGTCTCAAGGTTTAGGGTTGGGGACACCTTTGGGTACTGTGATTCTTCAATCAGACCACAGCATATGTGAGCTCACCGAAATACTGTGTGTGTGTGTGTGTGTGTGTGTGTCTGTGTGTGTGGGGGGGTGTGTGTGTGTGTGTGAGAGAGAGAGAGTGCATGTGTGTGTGCACGGTGTGTGTGTGTGCATGTGTGTGTGTGTGTGTGCATGCGTGTGTGTGTGCATGCGTGTGTGTGTGGGCGTGTGATGCATGTGAGTGGGCACAGTTGTGTGTACAGGTACAAGTGCATGAGAAGACCAGAAGTTGATGTCAGGCACCATCCTCCACCCCTCTTCACCTTGTCCCCTGAGGCAGGTGTCTCAATCAAGCCCAGAGCTCGCTGATATGACTAATCTCAGGCCGGCCAGCTTTGTTCTGGAGATGTCCTATCTCCACTCTCTAAGGCTGGAATTACAATGGCCACCATATTCACGCGACAGTTACATGGGTTCTGGGAATCCAGACTCTGGTCCTCTCACTTTTGTGTCTGCGCTGTCTCCAAGCACTGACCTCGGATTTTTCCACCCACCACGGCACACACAGTTTGGATGGTTATCGTTGCGGTCGATATAGACACTAGAATCAAGCATGTGGCGCTATCAAAGCCTTTCCTTCTTGCCTTTAGAGAAGTTCCTGGGAGACCAGAGACTCAGCTATGGACAGCCAGTCATACTGACCCTCCAAGTACCGCCTGGGGGCTCCCCACCCGCTGTGCATCTGAGACTGGAGGGGGCAGGCTTGGCTTTGGCTCTGAGGCCCTCCAGTCCACCCAGGCTTCAGGACTCCAGGCAGCCAGGACAGGTTCAGCTCCGGTTCCTGTAAGTGTCTCCCTGTCCTGAGACATGGGAGTGGCATGGGTAGGCAGGGTGATCTCCGAGGGCTAGGCACACTGGAGGCTCCTGAGAATCCCAGGCTCTTGGCACCAACTGTCCCTACATCAGGCTGTCCCACTGACTTCCTGCCCCTTCCAGCCTGCAGGAGACCTCTGAGGAGGCAGACATCCCTCTGCCTGCCTTCCACTTCCAGCGGCTGCTTGCCAATCTGACTGCCCTGAGCATCTGGACCAGGGGCCAAGACCTGGGCCATTCTGGTCAGTATGATGGCAATTCACCCCTAAGAACTCAGGTCCTGGCCCTGCATTGCTTGTGGAGGTTCTCACAGCATGGACTGTGAGACTGAGAAATCAGGACACTTACACAGGCAAAAGTGTGTCTGAGGATAGAGGCGGTTGCTGGACTGTGGGGAACCGGGAGGCCTGGGGGTGGACGGTCCCTGACAGAATCCAGCGCCGCCCCAACCTGCCACAGCATCTTTTTGTGGGCACTGCCCCCCCCTGCTGGAAAATAATGGCATTGCAGCTTGGCCACACCATAGGCTAATAGGGAGACTTAGCTCACCCAACTGCTTTTAAGACAGGGTCTCACTGGTCTTGAACTCTTCATCTTCCTCCCTCTGACTCCCAAGTGCCAGGATTGCAGGAGTCTCACTATGGAGCCCTGTCTGGTCTGGAACTTGTTAAGTAGATCAAGTCAGCTTTGAAACTCAGAGGATTAAAGTTACCACCATGCCCGACAATATTTATTGACTTGTATATATGTATATTTATGGGCACACATTCATGTGTGTGCCACACGCGTGAGGGGCGGAGGACAGCTTGTGGGGTCCTGCGAATTGAACATGCGTCCTCAGGTTTAGTAACTTGGGTTCTTAACTTGCTGAGCCATTTTGCTGGCCCCAAGCATATACATCTTGCAGTCTGGGCTCTCTCTGCCCCACCCAACTGGGTTAATCAAGATCTAGCAATGCTAGCCTTACGCATTCTAGCACTGGGCACTGGGTCTAAACTCATCTGCTCCCGTTGCTCTTGACTCTTTTGCCTGTCGTTTTTAAAGCTACACTTAAAACCTGGCGTAGTCGCCATGCCTGCGATCCCAGCCCTTTAAAGGGTCGGGCAAGAGACTAGCAGTCTGAAGATGGCTGCACCGCAAGACCATGTCTCAAAAAGCAAACGAAAATCACCGCTGACTCACAGGCCGCTTCGTATGCGTGGGCCTGTCTCACAGGTGCCAGGGAGACGTGCATGGAGGCCTCCCCTTCTCTTCCCATTCTATAGGAGCAGTGGCCCTCTGTGAAGTCCAGCTCACCTCGGCCCGGGCCCAGCGAGGGCTTGCTCCAGCAGCCTCTTGGGTGGAGTCTTGCTTGTGTCCCCAGGGATACACAGGCCAGTTCTGTGAATTCTGTGCCCTGGGATACAAAAGAGAGATACCTCGTGGGGGTCCCTACACCAGCTGCATCCCCTGCACCTGCAACCAGCATGGCACCTGTGATCCCAGCACAGGTGAGTCCCGGGATCCCATCCCAATGCCCCCTTGGCTCTATGTCCAGCACAGTGTGATGAGGCCTGGCCATCACAGGTGGCTCTCGGGGACATAGGCTCTGGTCTGTCCTTGCCGTGCTACCTGGGCTTCTCCAGAGCGGAACACCAGAGACTTCGACCATCTGCAGAGGCCTGCAGGTGTCTGTCTACAGCCCGTGGGCAGGCCTGGGAGCGGCTCCTCGAGGCCTTACTACTTGGCAGGTTCTGAGGAAAGGCAGAGGGATTATCAGCACAGATCATGCAGGTGACAGCAACTCTTGGGTGTCAACCCTGAGCCACAAACCTACCATCCTCTTCGTTTTGACTGTGGCCTTGGGAAAGTCACTCCCTGGACACCCCATCCGTACAGTTCAGATGGTAATAGTGTGCACAGCCCAGGCTGTGCAGACAAGGCCACGTGAAGGTCAGTGAGTCGGGAATTGCCCAGACTTCAAAAAACAGCCCTGCTTTTCACCAAAGCTCAGGGGTAGCTGACCAGGTGACCTGAGGAGTCTTTTCCTGGGTGAGGCAGATATGGGAAGCCATTCCCTCCCTCCCTGGGGTCGGCACTACATCTTTGACTCCTGCAGACATCGGAGTGGTACATTCTCCATTACTGTCCCATTCTCCAAGACAGGGACCTCATGACTGGTAGGTAGGTGATAGAGACACACCTCCCACCAACCCCAGGGTGAGAGTGTCATTCAGTAGAGCTATTTCCCACACCTGGAGATGAGCAGAAGCCTCACCGGGGGTCATGTGACCACGGGCTGTTAGGGCACAGACACAGGCTTCTCCACCTCTGTACCACAGGCCTTTCACCCTGCTGTCTCCACGGAGCAGATGGGGTCTCTGTCACTCTTGATACACAGAGCACATCTACCCATCCTGCGCCTGGCAGACATCACCAATCGAGCCTAGATGAGGCCTCATAATCCTTTCCCACTCAATGCTCCCTGCAGTTGCTATTGAGGAAACAGAATCTTCTCATGAGATAGAACTGGAACTAATTTTTCACCCCCACTGAGCCCTTGATGCCGCCACAACTTTCCATTCCGTATAAGCAAGTCTTCATCTGTAAAATAGGTCAGAGAAATAAGCCTGAGGGTGTAGGGCTGAGGCAGGAGCCCTCCCCTGAGCTGCTTATCCAGGGAATGAAGATCCCTTTCTTTTTCCTTCCAAACCTGGCCAGACACTGCTGGTTACCTCCTGTAGGGGGCAGTCTTGCCTTTCTTTCTGTCCCCATGGCCAGTTGTCCCCTCTAAGATCCCAGGCACTGAGCAGACACTAGGGGCTGCTGGACTGGAGAAGGGGTCTGTGATGTCCCGTCCAGGCACCAGCAGGCAGAACAGATTTGTCGTACTGCACAGAGTGAGCCCCGCGAGGCTCCTTAGGTGGGTCCTTCAGGAAGAAGAGGACACAAGAGCAGAGATGATGTCCCTTCCACTGCACAGAGATACAAACAGGTAGTGGAAAAGTACCCAAGTTTCCTTCCTGTCTCTAGCACTCCGTCCTTGTCTCCTACAGACATACCTGATGTGTGGCCTTTCCATCCTCTAAGAGACAGGCATCTGAGGTGCAGGGTGGCCACATGGCCAATAGGTGGCAGAGCTGCATCCCCTACTCACCAAGGGATGGGTTAGATGGTTTTCCCAGATCACGCAGGCATGGTGGACATGGCAATCTGGTTCACCTGGACCCTTCATCTCCATACCCTGCTGCCTCCGGTTCTTACTAGTCTTCCAGGATGTGCCCCATGGCTCCTCCACCAGGATACTCACTGTTGTCCAGGCCAGTGACTCTCAACATGTAGGTCACAACCCCTTTGGCAAACCTCTATCTCAAAAAAAATTTACATTACGATTCATAACAGTAACAAAATTACAGTTATGAAGAAGCAACAAAAACAATCTATGGCTGGGGTCAGTACAATGAGAGCAACTGTATCAAAGGGCTGCTGCATTAGGAAGGTTGAGAACCACTGCTCTGGGGAATTCTGGGCCAAGGTGATGGACAGGTATTTGTCTTGCTCTGTAGGGATCTGCCTGTGTGGCCACCATACCGAGGGTCCTTCCTGTGAGCGCTGCATGCCAGGTTTCTACGGCAACGCCTTCTCGGGCCATGCTGATGACTGCCAGCCCTGTCCGTGCCCCGGCCGATCAGCCTGCACAGCCATCCCAGAGAGTGGGGAGGTGGTGTGCACACACTGCCCCCCTGGCCAGAGAGGTGAGTGGCCTGTGTCTATTCCCCAGGGAGATCGAACTCGATGCTCCAATCCTGCCCCAGCTCTAGCTGAGCAGTCTGGGTTTGGGTGTCATGGGGGGAAAGAGCCTGACCTTAGGTGTGGCAAGCATGACTACGAAGAACAGTGCAGACCTACCTGGGCCTTGGCCATACAGAACTGACCCTTGAAAGACCCTTATATGGGCCTTAGAGCCTGACTCATGGCTTAGGATGAAGCCAGGGGACCCGGGATCCTCACTGGGAAGATGGGAAACCTCAAGGCAAACCTCTCATATGTCAAAGGAAAGCTCAGCTCATAAAGTGCTTGCTGAACAAGCCAGGTGGCCCTACTCAGACTCAGAACCCATGTAGAAAAAGGCCGAGAGCTGTGGCACATGTCTATACTCTCAGCACTGGGGAAGCAGAGGCAGGTAATCTCTGTGAGTTCAAGGCCAGTCTGGTCCTCAGAGCGAGTTCCAGGATAGGCTCCAAAGCTACACAGAGAAACCCTGTCTCAAAAAAAGGAAAAAAGAAACATTGATTGAGGGTGATCCCCAACATCTACCTCTGGTCTTCATGCACACACACATATGTATACACACACAAACATACAGGGGAATGCACACACACACGGACAAGTGTACATGCACACAGGCACATGTATACATACACGCAGGCACCTGTTCACACACACATACTTGCAGACACGTGTACACACACACATGAATTTTCAGCGTTAGTTTTTAGGAAATTCTATGGGTAACATAAGGGAAACAGAGCCTTCCCACACCTTCCCATGCTCCTGCACCCCCAGCTCCCTGCCGCAGAGCTGATGCTATTCCCAGAGGTGCATTTAATGGCACTTGAAATGTCTACAAGCCCCACAAAGTCACCCACTTAAAATGGACAATTAAATGGCTATTGGTATATTACATCATTAATTTTTTATCATACTAAAACCTATATCATAAAACTGTCCTCCTTGGCCATCATTTTAAGCACGTGATTCATTGGCCTCAGGGGCCCTGGCATCCCCTGCCACTGTGCAGTCCTGTGAGCTCTGTGCCCGCTGAACTGTTGTTTGATGGTCTCTGTCTCCCTTCCTCCCCACTATTTGACTATGTCTCTGAATTTGACTCTTTGGGGTCTTGTCTAAGCAGAAGCGTGCGTTGTCCTTCTGTGTCACTTGGCATCTGGCTTTGTGTGGGACTGGTGTCTGCCTGAGTGGCCTTGTGGAGTGTTCTGCTCGCTGAAACTTCTTCTGAAAGCAGCTTCCTGTCCTGCAGTCGCCCCAAGGTTGACTGGATAGATTCTCAGGGAACACAGAGCCTGGTGTGTGTGGGAGAGTCGCACAGTTGGATTCTATACCCCACGGGCATCACGCTTGCCCTGCGTCTCTACCCATGAAACCCACGTTTGACCCCGTGTGGTTCCCAGAGCCTTCAGAAGTGAATGAAGCTCTACAGTGAGAGCAAGAGGCTTGCATGGTGGGTGGGACACCCCTGAGAGGGCACATCAGGGAGCATCTGCTGCCGCCAGAAGGAACCATCCTGGCAGTGCCTAGGGTGACTTACAGATCAGGGACTTCTGCCAGCCTCCAATTCTGCATCACCTCCCGGGGCCTTCCTTAGGAGAAAGTAGCATGCAGCTTGTCTGGTCATCTGAACTGAGCCTGACCGACATCCTCGTGACGCTGCGGAAGCTGTTGGTGAGGAGGAAGGATAAAGTGGACGCATTGGTACCTGCTGTTTCTGAGCGCTTAGCGTCGAGTGCTTTGCACAGATAACGGTGTCGAGCCTCGCAGCAGGGCTTTGGGGTGTCTAGAGAGTTGTCCTCACTAGAGGCAAGGAGCACCTTGGCTTGCCCGGGGGCCACACAAGGGGGTGGTGCTCTAGGACCTGGCTGCAGGCCATCTTGACTCATAGACCCTGCTCACCTTCCCAGAAAAACGACAGATTTACTGCACCCTGTGAGCCAGAGCTCCAAACCTGCCCCTTCCACACACAGGACGTCGCTGTGAGAGCTGTGAAGATGGCTATTTTGGGGATCCTCTGGGATTCTCTGGAGCCTCCCAGCCCTGCCGCCAGTGCCAGTGCAGTGGGAATGTGGATCTCAATGCTGTTGGCAACTGTGATCCTCGTTCCGGCCACTGTTTGCGCTGCTTGTACAACACCACAGGCGCCCACTGCGAGCACTGTCAGGATGGTTTCTACGGGAGCGCCTTGGCCACCAGGCCTGAGGACAAGTGTGCACGTGAGTATCCACTTCCCAGACCCGTGGGGTAAGGCACGTGAGCCACTGTCCTCAGCCCTCGTTCAGGACACACACAGGATGCTGAGAGAGCTACCTTCTCTGTTCTCTAGAACATCAGGGTTTGTTCTTTCCCCAAGGCCTCTTCAGTGCTGGCGCCTCATAACCTCTGATCCTACAGTGTCTCCCTCCACCCCATTCTGCTCATTCAGCACCATCTCGCATCCGCCCTTAGCACATAAGGCTGATGCAGGGATGGGGAGGCCATGCCTCATCTCATGTGCCCCCCTCTCCCTGCCTGGGTTGCCCTCTGCCTCATGCGTGTCAGAGGGTCACAGCCTGCATTTGAATCGGGCTCCTGGAAGTCCTGCATCGGAGCAGCTCAGCTTTCCCCCATCCGTGTCCTCAGAGCCCTTTCCCATGGCGCAGGCCACACCTCACTGTGGCAGTAGGGGTCCCTCTAGGAAACCTCATTCTGGAAGGAAGCCGCACTATGGTTCCCGGGAGAGCAGAAGTGAGTGGCTCCAGATGGGGCTGCCAGGCTCTGCCTGTGTTCAGCAACCACATTGCTGGCCCTCTCTTCCAGCCTGCAGGCTTGAGACGGACTTGGGGAAGGGTGGTCTACACCCCTACTCTTCTGGGCTGACTCACCAAGGACCTGGCAAATAGGCTGAGACCCAAGCTTATCCCTCAAGCCTTTTCCAGGAGGATCTCGGGAACCTGGCCTGTGTGACCGTCATTTCTGGAGCTCCCTTGGCTTCTTGGCTTCTGCCTGTACCCCTAAAGTTTAAGCAAATGATTCCAACATCCTTTTTTGAAACCTAGCCTGCAGCTGTGACCTGAGGGGCTCAGTCAGTGAGAAGATAACCTGCAATCCAGTGACCGGCCAGTGTGCCTGCCTGCCTCACGTTACGGGGAGGGACTGCAGCCGCTGCAGCCCTGGCTTCTACAATCTCAAGTCTGGAAGGGGCTGCCAGAGGTAGGGGTGAAACTGTGAGTGCCCTGGGAGGGGTTGCCAGAGGTAGGGGTGAGGCTGTAAGTGCTCTGGGAGGGGCTGTCAGGGGGTAGGAGTGAGGCTGTGAGTGCCTTGGGAGGAGCTGTCAGGGGTAGGGGCGAGGCTGTGAGTGCCCTGGGAGGGGCTCTCAGAGGTAGGGGTGAGGCTGTGAGCGCCTTGGGAGGAGCTGTCAGGGGTAGGGATGAAGCTGTGAGTGCCCTGGGAGGGGTTCTCAGAGGTAGGGATGGGGCTGAGTTCCTTGGGTGTTTTGGCTCAGGGAAGAGGGCACCATGGAGCCTCAGGGAAGAGCCTGGTCTGGAGTGTGTTGTCCCAGGTTCTTTTCCACATCCACAGAGCCCTCCACCAAAGGGCATAAAAGCTCAGTCTCTGGGTATCAGATTCCTGGCTCTGCCAGCCCTGGAGGCAGGTCAAGAACAGCCCAAGGGCTGGGCAGGTGGGCAGATGGCTGGTTTGGTCTGATTCTCTGTCTCAGTGACACAGATCACTGGGGGTGGCCTTTTGACCACAGCTCCTGGGACAATGTGTCAGCCTCAAAGGAAGACTCTGGGGAGGCTGAAGAAGTGATGACTGTCCTTGTGTGGCTCCTTGGTGCCCTTAGTGTGGATTTCACAGTGACTTTCCAGACCTGTGCCAGTGTCCTATGTGACTTGTGCTCCCGTGGACACAGCCAACCATCAGAGGCTGGGTTAAGGGGTGGCAGCATCAATCTTCATACTTGCTTCTTGTTGCAGCTGTAACTGCCACCCGCTCGGCTCCTTGGAAAACAAGTGTCACCCCAAGACTGGCCAGTGCCCCTGCCGCCCCGGCGTCACAGGCCAGTCCTGTGACAGATGCCAGCTGGGTTTCTTTGGCTTCTCCATCAAGGGCTGCCGAGGTGAGCAAGCCGCATCCCGCTGGGCCATGGAAGGGAGGGCTGAGGTCTCCTGCTGGTAATGACCACAAGAAGCAGGAATGGTGGGGGAGATGATGGGTAGCCGCTGGCTGGTTGCTTGAGCCTGGCCGTAAGAACATGGAGCGTACGAGTGCTAGGAAGTCGGTATTGTAGGTCACATCTGTGACCACCGAACTCTTGTGTGTCATCAGGCACCATGTCACATGTGAGCCACTGTTTCCTCACTGCACAGCTAGTACTTTGGCAGTTCTGGGGCAATAAGTAAGCCTTAAGGCTAGGTTGCCGGCTTTGGCCTTCTAATCTTCTAGTCAGTCTGGCATGGAGCCCTGGAGTCTGCATTTGAGGACACACAGGGGTTGTGGGAATTTCCAGGTGGGGTTTGAGGATTCGGGGTCGGAGGTGGGAGATGAGTCCGAGCGCCTCATCGGGTCCCCAGAGCTGGCTTCTGTCCCCCAGACTGTAGGTGTTCTCCGCTGGGCGCTGCTTCACCTCAGTGCCACGAGAACAGCACGTGTGTGTGCAGGCCCGGCTTCGTGGGCTACAAGTGTGAGCGCTGCCAGGACAATTTCTTCCTCGTGGATGGTGACACAGGGTGCCAGGAGTGTCCCACCTGCTACGGTCTGGTGAAGGAGGAGGTGAATTGCTATGCCTAGATGCCCCCTCTTTCAGGATCATTTCACACCTCTAGGGAGCACCAACTCCATGCTGTGGACCAGAAGCTGCCTGCTCATTCACAGACCTTGAACCTTTTATTCCCACTGGCCACCTTCTCCTGAGTTCCCCCAGCCTCCTCATTCCAATTCTTCTGACCTTCACCTGGTCCTCCTGTCCTGGAAGAGCCAGAGGTGGCTCTTGTCACCTCCCTTCCTAGCCTCCCAGGGCCAAGGTCTCATACCTGTATAGCTCAGTAGGGGTAAGATGACAGGGCACCCCAGGAGCAACACAGACAGCATTTCAAGCAGGGAAGTGTGTGAAACTGAAGTCAGGAGTTGGAGCCTGAGAGATCCCAGGCAGAGGGCATCGTTATACGTGTTCATGTTCTACTCCAGAATAGCTAGTTCCAGTCTTCTAATCTCCTGGGCCCGGTGGGGCTCTGAAAAGGTGCGGTGCTGCGGGAGAAAGCAGCGTGTCCTGAGCTCTAGCTATGAGCGCAGAGAGAAAGCAGGCCAGGCCTGTAAGCAAAGCCATTTCCAGTTCTGCAGGACAGCGTGCATTCTGCACCACTGGGTAAATCAAGCTACCACATGGCTTCCTGCTGCCTGCAACAGTTTTTCTTCCAGATGAGGTCACAATCCATTTGTCATTGAGAAAGGCATAGAGGCTGGGTGGTGGTGGCGCATGCCTTTAATCCCAGCACTCAGGAGGCAAGAGACAGGCAGATTTCTGTGAGTCTGATGCCAGCCTGATTTACAAAACGAGTTCCAGGAGAGCTGTTATACAGAGAAATCCTGCCTTGAAAAATGAAATCCCAAACCAAAACAACCAAAAATACAAAACAAACAAACAAACAAAATATAGCAAAGAGGGTGGTATCTAAATAGAAACAACTTCCAATGTTGACCTCTGACCTCCAACGCATGCACCTCCCCAGGCAAACATATATGTGCAAGTACAAGCACATATACACGCAGGCACTTACACACCAACCTTCACGAGGCTCCTTTTCTTGCCTTCTGTCCCTTCCTCAGCAGCACAGGGGTGTGGCTGTCAGGGTGGCATCAGGAGCTAGGCTGAGAAGGGAAGTAGCTGGTGAGCTGGGCAGACAAGGCAGGCCCTAGGGGCTAGTGAGTCCTTAGCTCTGAGACGCAGGCAGGATTGGAAGGGGAGAAACCATGGAAGAGGTGGACTAGGCAGAGGCCAGGGACAACTCCCAGCACCGAGAGATCCCAGCCTTGCACAGTTTTTCTTCCCATTTGTCCTGGCAGGCAGCCAAGCTGAAGGCCAGGCTGATGCTGATGGAGGGGTGGCTGCAAGGGTCTGACTGTGGCAGCCCCTGGGGACCACTAGACGTTCTTCAGGGAGAAGCGCCTCGAGGGGATGTCTACCAAGGTCACCACCTACTTCAAGGTACAGGGGAAGGGGAGAATGGGAGGTGAGGGTGCTGGTGGAACCCCGGGCTGGCTTGACATTTTGGGAGCTCTTAGGATAGTCATGACACCCCATAGGCCTATCCTCCCATGTCCCTAGCACATCCTGTGATGATATTGACATGTGTCTCAGTCCCCTGCCTCATGGGTCTGGGTCCCCTGCCTCCTGCCCTGCACTGATTGTAAACTCTGGGCAAACCCTGGGCTGGGTTCATTCATTTTAACCATTTAACCGCACCCTCGCCTGGGGCGCTGTTCCAGGTGCTGAACCGGTAGAGTCCTCCGGGGTTTTGGCTTTTGGCCTGTTTGCTCACTGCCATGTCTCCAGGCTGTGTTTGGCAAGTGGCAAAAATGATTAGCAACTAAGAAAAGCAGACCTGTCATTAAACCAGGTGGAATGTGGCCTTGGGGCACAGGAAACTTCCAAATGTTGAGACTGGGTTGGTCCCTTTGTACGGCTGTGTTTGCAAATAGCTGTGCTTCAGCCTCTGGCTGAAGGTGAGGCAAGTCTTGTGCAGCTGTCAAGCAAGGGAGCAGTCAGTCTGTGCCGTGTGAACCTCAGTGAAGAGTCACAGCCCTGAATTGAGTTGGGGGTCCACTGCCAGCCCAGATTCTGGAGCTACTCACTGTGGTTTTGTTGGACTCTAGCGTCCAAACACCGAAAAGGAGTAGCCCTCAGAGACCATCTCACACACCACAGCTGATGCAAAAGCATGAGGATTTTATTAATTCTGTCATGACAGGGTCCCTCAGCATTCGGGAAGCTGAGAGACCTCGAATAGCGGGTACAGTCTACTTTTAAAGGGGCCACAGAAGCAAGGGGGGTTGTTCTTTGACTATTCTGATTGGCTTATTCGAAAGGGCTATTACCAACAATTGACTGGAGAGCTGTTGCCAAATCAGATGAGGTAAGAGGTCATTCTGACCCCGTTTCCCAGGGGACAGAACCAAAACATACGTATATGGGTAACTGTTCAGGAACTGAGTACGTGCGAGTGTAGCTGTTAGGTCCTTGGTTCCCAGGGGAGGAGGGGAAGCACTATGGCACAGAGGCTGAGAGGATTCAGAATTGTCAAAAATGGCTTCAGGGTTGTCTTAAAGTCTTACAGTTTCTCAGGGCCTGCTTCCAAGTCTCTGTGTGTGACTGATTGGCTAGCCTTCTCTGGACCTCAACCTTGGCAGCTGTTAAATACACAAGTTTCTCCTTTGGAGTACTGGAGGCAGGGGCAGAGTGGCACTGGGGGCCCAGCTGTGCCCAGGCAGTTGGAGGTCTCAGACGAAAGCCTAGTGAGGGGACTTTCGTGTAGAACCTCAATCAGCAATGATCACTCATTCACTGGCTCCCCACAGAGGCCCGGGAAACCTTCCTGGAGCAGATGGTGGACCTGGAAGGTGCCATGAAGGCCACATGGAAGCAGTTGCAGGTGCTGAGAGGAAGCGTCCGCTGTGACCAGCCTGGAGCTCAGAAGGCCTGCGCCCAGCTGACGGAGCTAGGGGACACATTGTGGTCCTCAGAGGAGGGGGTCCTGCGTGCAGCCTCAGCTCTTCCGTTTCTGGTATCGTGGTCTCCCCTGAACCCTGCTTCCATTTCCCCTGGACTCTTTGACCTAGTCCTGCCCTTAACCATTTGCCCATGGTGTGGTATATGCCTTAAAGGATGCTTGGTGTCACCTGCAGACCCGATCACACTGGGTCTCGTCTACTGGCACAGGAAGGCACTGTTTGCATAAGTCAAATGTATTTGGAGTAGACAGTGAATGCATAATGGCAGGCCGTGTCACTGGGCTTTATGTGCAGCCATGGTTAGCTTGTGTATTTTATGAAGTTATTGACACCATCCTATTCTACCCAGTCAGTTAGCCAGCTGTGACCCTTGACCTTCCAGGATGAGCCTCAGTTTCTTCCTCTGTTCTTTAAGGTGAATCTTCAGGAAGGATCCAGCCCACCCGCCAATTGGAGCCATCTGGCATCAGAGGCCCACATCCTTGCCAGGAGGTGAGCCCTGAGGTTCCGGGATGTTGGGAACTGTGCCCATACTGTTGACATGGGGGCCAGGCCTTCTTGGACAGACTCCAGAGTCAGGGTTGGTCTCTAGGAGCCCAAGAGCCACTCAGTAAGGAGTAATATTACCAGTATGGGAAGGGGTTTGGTGGAGTGGAAATGGAGGTGCAGACGTGATGGGGAAAAGCTTGCTCAATGGAACGCATCTCAGCATCTGGTGGCTTTAAAAAAAAAATCCACAAGTTTATTGAGATGCAATTCACATGGGCCTGAGAAGACCAGACTGGCCTTGAACTCAGAGATTTGCCTGCCTCCCGAGTGCTGGGATTAAAGGTGTTCACCTCCATGGAAGCACATTTTCCTCTTAAAAAAATTTATTTGGGGGGCCAGAGTGATGGCTCACTGGTTAAGAGCATGTATTGCTCTTCTAGAGGACCTGAGTTCAGTTCCTAGAACCCATACTGGGTAACTCACAACCTCTTGTAACTCTTTCTACCTCCAAGGGCACCTGCATTCACATGCACACAGACACACATGAGCACAGGCACACATGCACACAGACTCACATGCACACAGACTCACATGTACACAGACTTACATGCACACAGACTCACATGCACACAGACTCACATGTACACAGACTCACATGCACACAGACTCACATGCACGCAGACTCACATGCACGCAGACTCACATGCACACAGACTTACATGCACAGACTCATATGCACACAGACACACACTGCACACAGACACACATGCACACAGACGCACATGCACAGAGACACACATGCACACAGGAACACATGCACACAGACTCACATGTACACAAACTCACACGCACACAGACACACTGCACAGAGACACACATGCACACAGGAACACATGCACACAGACACACATGCACACAGACACACTGCACACAGACACACTGCACACAAACACACATGTACACAGACTCACATGCACACAGACTCACATGCACAAAGACTCACATGTACACAGACTCACACACACAGACACACTGCACAGAGACACACTGCACACAGACTCACATGTACACAGACTCACATATACACAGACTCACATGCATACAGGCTGCACACAGACACACATACACACAGACACACATGCACACAGACATACATGCACACAGACTCACATGCACACAGACTCACATGCACACAGACACACATGTACACAGACTCACATGTACACAGACTCACATGCACACAGACTCACATGTAAACAGACTCACATGCATACAGGCTGCACACAGACACACATGCACACAGACACACATGCACACAGACACACATGCACACAAACTCACATGCACACAGACACACATGCACACAGACTCACATGCATATAGACTCACATGCACATAGACACACTGCACACAGACTCACATGTACACAGACTCACATGCATACAGGCTGCACACAGACACACATGTACACAGACTCACATGCACACAGACACACATACATACAGACTCACATGCATACAGACTCACATGCACACAGACTCACATGCACACAGACTCACATGTACACAGACTCACATGCACACAGACTCACATGCACACAGGAACACATGCACACAGACACACATGCACACAGACTCACATGCACATAGACACACATGCACATAGACACACATGCACACAGGAACACATGCACACAGACACACATGCACATAGATTCACATGCACACAGACTTACATGCACACAGACTCACATGCACACAGGAACACATGCACACAGACACACATGTACACAGACTCACATGCACACAGACTCACATGCACATAGACACACTGCACACAGACTCACATGTACACAGACTCACATGTAAACAGACTCACATGCATACAGGCTGCACACAGACACACATGCACACAGACACACATGCACACAGACACACATGCACACAAACTCACATGCACACAGACACACATGCACACAGACTCACATGCATATAGACTCACATGCACATAGACACACTGCACACAGACTCACATGTACACAGACTCACATGTACACAGACTCACATGCATACAGGCTGCACACAGACACACATGTACACAGACTCACATGCACACAGACACACATACATACAGACTCACATGCATACAGACTCACATGCACACAGACTCACATGCACACAGACTCACATGTACACAGACTCACATGCACACAGACTCACATGCACACAGGAACACATGCACACAGACACACATGCACACAGACTCACATGCACATAGACACACATGCACATAGACACACATGCACACAGGAACACATGCACACAGACACACATGCACATAGATTCACATGCACACAGACTTACATGCACACAGGAACACATGCACACAGACACACATGCACATAGATTCACATGCACACAGACTTACATGCACACAGACTCACATGCACACAGATTCACATGCACACAGACACACATGCACACTTATAACCTAAGAACAGGCAAATAATAAATATTAAAAATAAACAGTAAATCCACCCACGGGAGTTAGAAGTACAGGACTGTGTGGAGTCGGAGGCTCAGGCAGCTGTGAACTGATGCATGTGACTGCTGAGAACTGAACTCTGTGCTGTGCACAAACAGAAAGTGCTCTTAACTGCTGAGCCCAGTTTTCCTCTTCAGCTCGAGGAGCCAAAGTCACTTTGGAGACAGGAGACAGATGCAGAGAATTAACTGACTCCCTCATAGACACAGCTGGGAAGCGATAGAGTCTCGGTTCCATCCCAGGCCAGCTTGTCCACTCCCTGCTGTGATGTCCCTATGAGAGGCCATGTGGTGAAAGGCCTTGGGCTAGGAGCACAGGTGTGACTGATCTATGACAGGAGCAGGAACACGGAGCGTCCCTGATGATGCCACAGTGGCAGGTGGGCAGAAAGGAGTCCGTCCTGCAGGAATCTGGACACCACCTCTGTGTGTGCTCTTAGTGATTGTCACGTCAATTCACACAGCCACCAGGACACAGCCACCAAGATCGAAGCTGCTGCACAGAGGGCCCTGCTCGCCTCCAACACCAGCCATGAGCACCTGTGGGATCTGCTGAGAGGGAAGGAGGCCTTGGTGGCCCGGCGGGAACTGGAGGACAGGTAAGGCCTCCACAGCTGTGTAGAGAACCTTGGGCTTAGCTTCCAGGAGCCACAGAACCAGCCAGAGGTCAGTGCCTTCAGAAGCAGCTCCTCTGAGCCTGAGCCCTTCAGGGTGTCTTGGGACAGCACTCTTGTATGAATGGGGCTGTGGCAGAAGGGGCGGACAAGGTAGCTAATCTCTGCCCCACAACATTCCCCGAGGGCATCCCGTAAACTGCAGGGTGGCCTCCTGACTCTCTTGATGCTGCTCCCTGCCACCAGCTTGCTTCCCTGCCTCTGGAGGCCAGACATCTGGGCATCTCTGTTCAACCTTGAGCTAGGCAGCATGGCAGGGTGAAGTCATGTGGTCCACCTCCAGAGCTGGCTGCTATGGAGTGGTCGCTCAGCTCGAGGCCTCACCATTTATCAGTGGAGAGTAACACACAGTATTAATTATACAAAGCGATTTAAAGGTGGACAGGTTTATTCTGCTCACAGTTCATGGGAGTTCTTCCTCCATGGCGAGGGAGACGTTGTTCCTGGGCTTGGGGTTACAGCCTGTGCCCCAAGAAGCCAAGTTCAGTCACCCATCCTTGATAAGCCAATTAAGAGGCCACATTAATAATGAAAAGCAGAAAAAGGAGCTTTATCGATGTGGGTGCTTTGGAAGGAGAGGCAAAGATATCTAGGGGAACTCGTTAGTGCCTCTTTGGGTCCTGAGGGGAGGCTAATGTCTAAGCAGTCCTGGTCAAGGTGTGGCCCTGTCCGTGGGAGACACATCGTTCTTCTGGCTCCTTTTCCTGTCATCTTCTGGGGGAAAAGAGCTTTCCCCTCAGGCTGGTTCAGACTGTAGGATTTCCCTTCTGGATGGTTTGACCTGTAGGCTTTCTCCTCTCCAAGCACTTGACTCCCGAGGGAATTCTAACTCTTGGGGTCCGCGGTTGCAGTGATCTGATAACGAAGTGAGGGACATGAGAGACTCAGAATATCTTTATCTCTGATGGGCCAGTTACAACATGGCTGCATGCGGGGAAGGCATGGGGCAGGAATAGGCGGTAGCCTGGTCACATTGCACCTATAGTCAAGAAGCAGAGAATGAACAGGAAGGGGGTCAGACTATAAAACCTTAAGGCCCTCCCCAGAGGGACCCACTTCCTCTATCAAGGCTCCATTTACTAGAGGTTTCGCAAATTTCCCAATGCCACCAACTGGAGACTAAGTGTTCAAACATATGAGCTTCTAGGAGTCATTTCACATCCAAACAGGAGCATATGTAAAGGTCGGCGGCAGGGCATGGGCAATCAAGATCGCAGCTTAGGCTGCAGTCCTTCTATCCCAGGTAGAGTCCCCTGCAGCCTTCCAAGAGGCTCCAAGGGTCTGCAGAACGTGTCATCCTTGGGTGCACTGGAACCTGGAGCCTGGGCAGCGTGGCATGCCCAGATTGAATAAGGAGGTAATGAGTGTGTTCACTTGAAAGCTTCAGAGATTGGAGAGATGGCTCAGCTATTAAGAGAACTTACTGCTCTTGTAGAGAAGCTAAGTTCAGTTTCCAGCACCCACATTAGGTGCCTTACAACTACCTGGAACTCCAGCTTCAGGGGATCCGATACTTACCACCTCTCTGGACATCAGCACTCACAGGCAGGCAAACACACACACACACACACACACACACACACACACACACACACACCCTGAAAGCAGAAGATCCCAGCTAACTTGTCAATTCCCTGAACATCTGCACTCACAGGCAGGCAAACACACACACACATACACACACACAAAATCACACACACACACACCATCACAAACATACACACCCTGAAAACTGTAGATCATAGCCATTTTTCCAGGCCAACTGCTGGGTCCTGACCTGCACAGGGTTGAGTCTGTCAGGAGGTAGGAGGGCTTTGCAGGTTAACAGCTCCAGCAAGCGGTTCTGATAAAGATAGCGAGGGGTGTCCTACACCCTGTTCTGTGGCTCATCCTAACACCTTGACCTCTTTCCTCCCAGGTACCAGGAGGTGCAGGCAGCCCAGACTGCCCTGGGCACAGCTGTGGCAGAGGTGTTGCCCAAAGCTGAGAGGGCACTGACCACTGTGAAGCAAGTCATTGGTGATGCTGCCCCACATCTGGGCTTGCTGGTCACCCCTGGAACAATGGTCAGTTCAACATCCCTGGAGCTCCTTGTGGGGTGGCAGTGAAGGTTCTAGATCATGGAGAAGCCAGAGGGTCATGCAGAGGTGGTCAGGGATTCTTGTTAACTGGGAAGTGGGCTACTCAGACAAGCAGGGCTCAGTCAATCTTCCACACCAAGGCTGGTTACTGTGAGGTGAACAAGGACATCAGAGGGTTGGGAATGATACACTCCCAGTTCCCACACCAGCAGTGACCTTGGCCAAGGATTTCCTTCCCCGAGTCTCAGCCACCAGGGACCCTCTGTCTTGTGGACTCAGGCTCCCTTAGCTTAGTTTTGGAGGTGGGAAGCTGGAGGGCATCCAGTTAGTTCTTCATTCAACACTCATCACGTCTCCACACCCTGCCCAGCTTGTCTGTCAGGTAATCCTGAGATCTCCAGCCTCAGAAACCCGGCTATAACAGGGCACTAAGCCAGCTCATCACACAGCTTGCGGGGAGAATGTGTGCCCAGCATGCTCAAGGTCCTGGGTTCCACCCCCAACACCAAGGAAATCAAAACCAGGAAACTATCCAAACACAGTTGGGACACAGGCTGCCTGTGGCTACTGCCTCATGGCTTCCCCCGCTCTTCTTGTGTGCAGCAACCTGGATGACCCGGATACTGCCGGGGGCTTGGGATCACACACACCTCTACCTTTCTAACAGCTGGAACACCCTGCACTCTGAAGCACTTGGTCAAGGTTCAGGTGGAGGAAGAACTGCGGGCTTGAGGAGGGATGTTCACCTTGCGAGGAAGAAGGCAGTCCTACCCGAGGGTCAGAACAATTAGCTGCAGTGTCCCGGGCTACACAGCTAGAAATTGGTAGGGCTGGGGTCTGAGGCTCCAGTGACAGGTTCTCCCAGCCTGACTTCTGTGCAACCCCCTTTGTTCTGCCACTGCCCTGCCCCTGGGGTATCTCAGGTGCCTGGGACAGCAGGACGTACTCTGGGGCCAGGGTTAAAGCACCAGTTCTGGGCTAGTAGCCACAGGTTGGCCCTCAGCACAGCAAGGCAAGCCTGGCCCTCAGCACAGCAGGGCACAGGCTGGCCCTCAGCACAGCAGGACACAGGTTGGCCCTCAGCACAGCAAGGCATACGTTGGCCCTCAGCACAGCAGGACACAGGTTGGCCCTCAGCACAGCAGGGCATAGGTTGGCTCTCAGCACAGCTGGGCACAGGCTGGCCCTCAGCACAGCAGGGCATAGGTTGGCTCTCAGCACAGCAGGACACAGGTTGGCTCTCAGCACAGCAGGGAATAGGTTGGCTCTCAGCACAGCTGGGCACAGGCTGGGCCCTCAGCACAGCAGGGCAAGCCTGGCCCTCAGCACAGTTGGGCAAGGTTGGCCCTCAGCACATCAGGACACTTTTCCCTGAACAGAAGATCTGGTTCTCAGCCCTACCTGAACAACCGACAATCTCCCCGCAGCCTCAGAACTCCCAAACCAGGCGTCTGGACTGGAAAGTGAAGGCCCTGGAACAGAAGCTGGCTCAGAAGGAGCGCCAGGCCATCCAGGCTGAAGGAGCCCTGCAGGTGGAGGCTGGGGCAGCCCTAAAGAAGATGGAGTCCTTCATGCAGGTCAATTTCGAATCTGAGGCCTGGAAAAGGGAGGGGATGCCCCCAAGGGAACCTGGGGTGGGGTGGGGTGCAAAAGATGGAAAATAGCACTTGCAAGTCTCTGCTGCCTCCCTCAAAATGCCTGAGAGTTTTAAAGGTGGCCAAACCACGGGAGGAAAGGCTGCTTGCTGAGGAGAGTAAAGGGGTGGAGGGAGAGGGGATGGACAGACAAACGGGTAGACAGGTGGATGGTAGAAGCCATATATGCATATATACCCTCTCAGGGTCAGTCACAACTGGGTGGCTCTTGTGTCTCTTCTCCCTTCTGCCCTTAGATACCCCATGTTCAGAGGCGCCCATTCTGAGCAGCCCATGGGACTCAGTGTTAAGTCACATAGCCTGGTGTTCAGCCCAGAGAGATGGTACTAGATCAGGGGGTTCTAGAATGGAAGCTTAACTAGGACTAGCTTGCTAACATATACAAGAAAATTCAAAAATAACTGTGCTAGAGCAATTTTCTTGGGAGATAATTTCAGGCTTATGGGAAGGTTCTAGGGACAGCACCCAAATCTCTCATACCCTACCCACAAGGCCATTTGATGTTAATGTTTAGCCAGCCACAGGGCAGGTGCCAAACTCAGGAGAGCAACATGACACCGCCCAGGATTCTAGACTACTGGCCTGACTCAGAACCCCCACAATGGCGGTCATGGCTTCCCCAGAGGCCCCTCAGCTTTCTTACAAACCCAGGAGACAAGGAAATACCTTTGAGGAGAAATGATGTACCCAAGGGTTGGATCCAGGGCCTGGCACATACCCATTTGAACCTTGCTGTGTTGAGGACCCCACATAGTGTCCTCTGACCTGACCTCCACTCCCATCTAGGGTGAGGAAGCCAGGAAGGGAGGCAGCCTCCACAGCACTTCTGCAGCAGGGTCTACACTACTGAAGAAAATGTCTCCTTCCTCTATTAATCGTTAGCTAAATATAAGTCCACAGGGAGGAGTTGAACCCTGTGATACTGCCCCCATAACAGAAAACTGATGTTGAGGGCCCTAACTATATGCAGATCTTGTACAGATAGTCATGGTCGCTGCGAGTTCAAGAATTCAAACTTCATACCATGCCCTGAAGTCAGCTTCCTGTGACTCTTACATTCTTTGTGTCTTCTCTTGCACAATCAATCCTGAATTCTTTACCAGGTTGTCTCATCTGGTGGCCATGGGGAAGTGGTGGCTATTCTGTGAGGAGAAACTGTTTAATAGCTATGGGCTGACATCACATTAGGGACTGAAGTATGGAGTTGTCTTTGGCTCTAGTTTTCCCATCATTCTCCAGGCTTCTGAAGATGGGGTCTTCTTGGGATTGATGTGGGGCTTGGCATCCATCTAATCAGATCAGGGATCCTAGAATCAGGACGATCTCCAGTCAGAGTCTTTTGAGGTTTGGGACCCTGTCCATCTGGGGCCCCTTGACAGGTCTCCAGGAAGCCCCTGCTTTTTCTCCTCCTTGCAGCTACGCAACAAGACCACAGCTGCCCTGACGCAGGCTTCCTCAGCTGTCCAAGCTGCCACACTGACTGTCATAGGAGCCGAGACTCTGCTAGCTGACCTCGAGGGTATGTGTGTCCTGTTGAGCCCTGGGTTCTATACAAGGCCCTGACAGCCAGCTTACCTCAGCCAGGGCTGCCTGGCTACAGGGAACGGCAGTATCAGGTGGACCAGCTCCTCTGCCTCTCAGGACTTCCATGCCATCTGTCTCTTCCTTTCACACATGCCACTACTGGGTTCTGGACCCTGTGGCCACCCTAATTAGCTCCCAGCATTATCAGACCAAGCCCAGAGTTCCTCAGGATCCAGGGGAAGAGAATCTGTTGTTACCGGCAGGAGTGTGGCTCAAGGGGAGCGAGCTGTCTAAAGTATGCAAGGTTCCAAGTCCCATCTTCAGTAGAGATAAAAGCAAAACCAGGGCCTGAGAGTGTGGCTCAGTTGGCAGGGTGCTTGCTGAATTGCAGAAGGCCCCATGTTAGACCCCCAGCCTCAAATAAGCCAGTTGAGGTGGTGCACACCTGTAATCGCTGCACTCGAGAAAATCAGTTCAGATTAACTCTTGGCTACATAGTGAATTTCAGACTCATGATACATGAGACGTTGTTGAAAAAAAAAAAGGCAACCCTCCCCCCTTTGCTGGATGGTAGATCACACCTGTCCTCCCAGCACTGGATAAACTGAGCTGGGAAGAGTGCCTCAAGCGTGAGGGCCGCGGGGGCTACCATAGTAAGTTCTAAAGCAGTTTAAGCTATTGAATGAAACTCTGTATCAAAATGCCCAGACAAAGCAAAACTATGTGCTACAGTGTTTCAGTTTAGAGTAGGCTCTGCTTTGATGACGGCCCAAACTCTTCCGAAACTTTAAGAAAATGAAGTTATACCCAGCATGGTGGTGCAGGCCTTTAATTCCAACACTTGGGAGGCAGAGACAGAACGAGGTCCAGGATAGCCAGGGCTACACAGAGAAACCCTGTCACGAAAGAAAGAGAAGAAGAGAGAGAGAGAGAGCAAGAGAGAGCCCAAGTGGCCTGTAGACAGAAAATCAGTTGCTCATCCATCCTTGACTCAGAGCTGCGCACTTACCTCTCTACCTAAAGGCCCACTGTGTGACTGACTCTTCAATACCGGCTTCAAGTCAGAGAGAATCCTTTGTGGCTCTTTGTCCCCTCCACCTAGCACCTTCCCTCCAGCCCTGCCCTGTTGCAGACTGGAGATGAATTAGCCCAGTGGTGTGGGGGCTCAGTGGTGTGGGGCCCAGTGGTGTGGGGGTGGGGCATGCTTTCTAGTTTCCTTGGGATGCGGAGTCCTCATTGCTCATTGGGGCCTCCTATGAAAAGGACACGGCCGTGTACATGCTTATATAACCAGAGTCACTTTTAGGGAAATGTAAATCTGTACTACAAGATATTATGTGTTATTGCAGGGGCATCAGAACAGTGGAGGGTTGTGAGACGCCCATTGTATGTCCCTGCCTTGCTGCCCTCAGCCTCCTCTCCATATTGAGGTGTACAAGACCTCCCAGGTGTCACCTTCTCCTTGTTGAGAACAGGACTTTGCTTGTGCTGGGTGGAAAATTATCCCTCTGATTCTGCCCCATAACCCAACAGAGTAACTTCCAACCTCAAGCCCAGGTTCTTTGGCCCTCTCCCAGCACAGCCCAGGGGCTGCGACCACTGTGTGATGAGGCTTTAACAGAGAGATTACAATACAGACACCATCATAGCACACGGGTCTTTGCATTTGCTGAGGGCAACATCTCATGCCTCTTGTTATTCCCGGATGGCACCATGAGAAGGGGCGACACACACATCTCCTGTGTCTCTGACCTCTGCTCCTGGGGCTGGCCACACATTGGCAGGCTCTCCAGGATGTGTCTGTTCCTCCTGCCTCAGCCTTGGCCGGTTTTGCAGGAGTGAAGCTGAGGTTTCCTCTGCCCAAGGAGCAGGCAGCACTGAAGAGGAGAGCAGGCAACATCCGGGCCAGACTCCTGGAAGAGTCGAAGAGGAAGACCAGGCAGGCAGAGAGGATGCTGGGAAATGCTGCCGCTCTCTCCTCCAGCACCAAGAAGAAAAGCAAAGAGGCAGAACTGATGGCCAAGGAGAATGCCAAGGTCAGGTTCAGGACAGCAGCCATGTTGACAACAGCCTTCTTGTCCTCCATGTTGACGGCTGTGGGTCCTGGCTCTCAGCTCAGGAGCTCATGGGGTGACCTCACCCGTGGCCTATGAGAATGTGAAGACTCTAGGCGGAGCCAAGTTCAAGCTTAAGTCATATGACCAGGACTCACACCTGGGTCCGGTGGGATGTTGTCTAGATTTCTAGGTTTTTCTTTGTTGTTGTTACTGTTTTAATTTCATCTTATTTACTTTCTATACAATATTAAGATGCTCTATTTTGTGTATACAATGTTTTACCTGCATATATGTGTGTGCACTATGTACATGCAGAAGTCAGAAGGTTCCCCTAGCTGCGAGCCTCTATGTGGGTGCCAGGACCTGAATCCAGGTCCACTGCAAGAGCAACAACTGCTCTTAACTGGGGAGCAATCTCTCCACCCCCTACTTTTTAATTTTTGACAGTCTCATGTTTTTAATCCTAGGCTAGCCCTGAAATCACTGTCTGAGGATGACCTTGAACTTTTGATTTTTCTGCCTCTGCTTCTGCCACTACGCCCAGTTTATCCTGTACTAAAGACTGAACTCAGGGCCTTGTGCATTTGAGGCAAACATGTGTCTAACTGAGCCACATTCGCTATTCCTTAGGCTTTTTTTTTTTTTTTTCGAGACAGGATTTCTCTGCGGCTTTTTGGTTCCTGTCCTGGAACTAGCTCTCGAGTGCTGGGATTAAAGGCGTGTGCCACCGCCGCCCGGCCTCCTTAGGCTTTCTTTAACTGGGGTCGAATTCTTTGTGTGTGTGTATGTGTTTGTGTGTGTGTGTGGTGTATGTGTGTATGTGGGTGGGTTGTGTGGGTATATGTGTGTATGTGTGTGTGTGTTCCTCAGATCCAATGCTCATACCCAAGTGAACTCTTCTTCTGGGTACCTAAATTTCTGAAGGGCTGGCCTGAAACTAGGAATTCCAGGTGCAGTTTCTTTTCTTTTATTTTTTTATTATCGAGACTAATTTATTTCCATGATTTAAGAATGTATCATTACAGGCTAATTAATGACCGTACAGCAATTGATAAAAATGAAGGAGAAAATATTGCACACGTTCTGCTCTAACAATACAGAAAATCATTTGACAAAATTTACCATCAGTTGGTGATAAGATTACTAATAAGTATGAAAAAATATATATCCCAGTGTAGTAAATCCGTATATTTCAAGCCCACAGCTCACATACTCTGCGGTGATAAGTGGGGTTTCTCATCTAGGACCAGGAACTAACCAAGGATGCCTTTCCTAGCTACTGAGTTCATAGTGGATATTCCTGCCAAATCCAGGCGCAGTTTCTTGTCCCATTGTTCAGACTTTGGGCAGCTCCTCCTCCCCCTCCCTGGACCTCTGTTTCCCCATATATAAAAGACCAGGGGAATGTCTCCACTAGGAGAAATGAGTAGTTTGCAGGAATTTGTACCAAAAGCACAGCCTGTGTCCAGCACATGCCTGTTGATTGTGGGAATGAATGAGTTCTAGGCTATGGTGTAGACTGCTTGGCATCATGTCACAAGAACTCTTGTCCAAGCCAGACCTGGTGGGACAAGCCTCTGTCCCAGCTACTCTGTGGCTGAGGCAAGAGGATCACAAATCCAAGGCTATCCTGGGTAAATTAGTAAGCCCCAATTGCAAAATATGAATTGGGCATGGCATGTGGGTTAGTCGTAGAGTGCTTACCTAACTTGTACGAGACTCTAGGTTCCAACTTCAGCCTGGAAAAAGAAAACTAAAGAACAAAGCCCCTCTTTCCCCAGGGGCTTATTCTTCCTCCCTGTTGCTGTCCTGCAGCTTGCGAAAGCTTTGCTGAGGGAGGGGAAGCAGAGGCACCGTCGTGCCAGCCGACTGGCCAGCCAGACCCAGGCCACACTCCGCCAGGCCTCTCGGCTAGTACTCACATCAGAAGCGCGCAAGCAGGAGCTGGAGGAGGCTAAGCAGGTGGGTGTGCCCAGCCCTCACACTCTCCTATGCCCAGTGTCTTAGGGTTGCCATTGCTATGATGAAATGCCATGACCAAAAGCAACCAGAGAAGGAAAAGATTTATTCCACTTATATTTCCAGATAACAGTCCATCACTGACAGAAGTCAGGGAGGAACTCAAACAGGGCAGGAACCCGGAGGTGGGAGCCAATGCAGAGGCCATGGAGGGGTGCTGTTTACTGGCTTGCTCCTCATGGCTTGCTCAGTCCGCTTTCTTATAGCAACCAACACCAGCATCCCATCCCAGGGGTGTCACCAACCCACCATGCCCTCTCCCATCAATCACTAAGAAAATGGCCTACAGTCTAGCCTCCAGCCCTGTCTTATGGAGGCATCATCTCTGTTCAGGTTTCCTCCTCTTAGATGACTTGAGCTTGTTTTAAGTTGACATAAAACTAGCCAGCCCTCCCAATCACCCCAAGGAGCCACTAAGATGTTCTTTCTGGCCAAGGTGGTCTCTGGGCTGAGCACCGTGGAGCGCCAGATCCAAGAATCTCGAGGGTCTTTGGTGAAGGACATCCAGGTTCTGTCAGAGCTGCTCGCCAAGCTGGGTAAGGAGACCCTATGGCAAGTCCCTGGCTGGGGGAGGGTGCAGTCGTAGGATGCATTTCTCCTAAAATCCAGGGCTCCCACTTCTACCATGTCACCTACCGCAGGCTTTGTAGCCATGCAAGCCCTGTGTAGGGCAGGGTGGGTATCTGGAATTGAATTCACTGTGTCTCCAGGGCCTGAGAGAGACATCTGCTTCCCCTACTCTGGTGAGTGTGGTGTGGGCTGGAGGAAGTGAAAACCCACTCACTATGTTAAGGAGCCCTTGCTTCCCAGTGGGTGAGGTAGCAGTCAGAGCCTAGAAAGAATGGCAGAAAAGCAAGGGTCACGTTGGGAATAAAATTTGATTCTGACTCTATCCCTTCCTGTGTGGTGGCACTTTGGGCATATCACCAGCCCCCTGAGCTGGTTTGCCCACCTTTGAAGGGAGAGTGAACGTGGACGACTTAGGAAGTGCATACGTCGGGAGAAGTCAGCCGACAAGGGTTCACAAGCGGGAAGGAAAATTCCACGTGAAGCCAGGGCGGGGATAGTGCATAGCCATAAACCTAGCCCTTGGGAGGCTGAGGCAGAAGGATGGATCCAAGTTCTAGGCTAGCCTTGGGTACCAGTGAGACCATGCCTCAAAAAAGAATGTGGGAAGAAGAAGTGGCTCTGCTGTTAAATCCCACCTGCTTCCTGTGCTTCTAGAGGACCCAAGTTCAGTCCCAGCACCCACGTCAGTGGCTCACAACAGCCTGTGTCTCCAGCTCCAGGGGATCCAATACCCGATTCTGGCCTCTGGGGACACCCTCAATATAGTCAAAAAAACATACTTACATTAAAATAAATCTTAAATTAGGAAGAAAAGGAGAAGAAAACTCTGGACAGGTTGTAGCAAAGAGAACTTATGTATGAACAGCCAGGGCCTCTGGATGAAGAGCTGGTAGCCTCAGACTTGGATGTCCAGGCAATGATGAGAGAGGTTGGGCTGACATGAACAGCATACATTTTTAAAAACTGCGCTAAGATATACATAGCATAAAATGTACTTTGTGAACATGTTTAAGTATACTTTTTTTTGACATAGGGTTTCTCTGTGTGGCCCTAGCTGTCCTGGAACTCACTCTGTAGACCATGGTGGCCTCAAACTCACAGAGATCCACCTGTCCCTTCCTCCCGAGTGCTGGGATCAAAGGCACAGGCCACCACTGACAGGCTAGGTACCCGTTTTGGTGACTGTGTTAGTCGGTTGTTTTGTTAAGCTCCCTGAGACAATCAACTTAAGAGGAGGAATGATTTGGGGTAGGAATGTGGCCCAGTGGCAGAGTGCTCCTCTAGCAGGTACAAAGTCCTGGGGTCCATCCTTGGCCCCACAAGAGAGGGTGCAGGGAGAGGAAGAGGTGAGGGCCTACTTTGGCTCTGGATTTGAGTCCATTGGTCCTGTTGCTTTGAGACTTTGGCTGCGAAGTGCTTCCTAGTAGCGAACCGTGGGAGGGAGGCCTGGTCACAGGACAGCAGTCAGGATTGAGCAGAAGTGCTAATATCCCTGTCAGGGCACATTCCTGGTGACCTAACTTCCTTCCACCAAGCCCCGCCTGCGCAGGGGTCTGACACCTCCTCATTCCACAGGCTTTCTGTCATGTGGAGACACATACATACATCTCCAGAACTTTCATGGCTGTCCAAAGAGAAACAGCCTCTTAAACACTGGCTCCCCTCACCTTCCCTGTGCCTGCCACCTTTCTATGGCCTCGAGTTCTCTAGGGGGCTCAACTAAGTGGACTCACACGGCATTTCCCCTTTAAAAGTTTTACAAGTATTCATCTGTGTATGGGAGTGGGACTTGTGTGTGGAGACCCGAGTTGACTTCAGATATCTTCTCTATCACTCTCCACATTATGTATTTATTTTTATTTTTTGAGACAGGGTTTCATTATGTAGCTCCGTCTGTCCTGGAACTCACTCTGTAGACCAGGCTATCCTGGAATTCACAGAGATCTGCCTGCCTCTGCCTCCCGAGTGCTGGGATTAAAGGCGTGCGCCACCATCGCCCAGCCTTGGCTATTTATTTATTTTTAACGTTTTTATTTTAGTTTGAGACAAGGGCTCAAAACTCCCCATGCAGATTAGGCTGGCCTCCAGTTCACAGAGATCAGCCTGTCTTTAGATCTCAGGAACTAGATTCAAAGCATGGACCACTGTGCCTAGCTTATATTTATTTCTTAACTTACTTATTTTGTGATTTGTATGTGTGTTTGCCACAGATTGCAGATAGAGGTCAGGGAATAATTTATAAGAGTCATTTCCTACCTTCCACCATGTGGAGTTGAACTCAATGCATTAGCCTTGGGGGCAAGTACCCTTTCTCCATGAACGACCCTCTGCTTCATATTGTGAGATGGGGTCTCACTGAACCCAGAACTCATGATTTGGCTAGGCTGGCTGACCTGAAGAGAGAGAGAGAGAGAGAGAGAGAGAGAGAGAGAGAGAGAGAGAGAGACTGAATAAATATAATTAAAAAAAAAAAAAAGGATACAGTCCCTAAAGGCTGCCACCTCAGGAAGTTAGGATTCTATCAGTGGTTAAATCCACTGATGAGGGTTTTAATGTTCCAATCTCTTCTTGATGGTGGGATCCATCAACTGGGGACCAAGTTTTCAACCCACGAACATTTTAGGAGGCACTTTGTATCCATATAACAGCCCACCCCTGCCCCTTTTTGCCCTCTCAGCCAGTGTTCCTTGCCTGGGAAGTTCAGAAGGACCTGGAAGGATTAGAAACCACTTGAGGCTAGTGGTGCGCACCCTTAATCCCAGCATTCCAGAGGCAGGGGCAGGTAAATCTCTATAAATTCAAGGTCAACCTGGTCTACTGAGTGAGTTCCAGGACTGCCGACGCTACACAGAGAAACCCTGTCTCAAAAAGCCAAAAACCAAGAAAGAAAGAAAAAACAAAACAAAACTTCAGGCTGGCTTCTACCCTGTCACCCTCCCACCCAGTTGAGCTCCATTTTTTCTGCTGAATATCACCCTTCAGGTGACAAGGCTGCTGTCACCACATGACATTCCTGTGTGAGCACCTGGTTCCACTCTTTGTCTCTTGGAGAGGCTCAGTCCTACTAAGTGGAAGGAATTCTTTTTTTTTTTTTTTTTTTTTGAGACAGGGTTTCTCTGTGGCTTTGGAGCCTGTCCTGGAACTAGCTCTTGTAGACCAGGCTGGCCTCGAACTCACAGAGATCCGCCTGCCTCTGCCTCCCAAGTGCTGGGATTAAAGGCGTGCGTCACCACCACCCGGCTAAGTGGAAGGAATTCATGAGGGGCCAGGGTGAGAAACCAACTGCCTGCCCCTGGGCCTACAGCCCTTCCTGCCCCATGCCACCCTGGGGCCTGTCTGAACCTGGACACCCGCAGTCTACTCCGTAAACCTACCTGACCAGCTCATGGGTACTTGCAGGTGTGTGCTGACCTTAGAGCCAGCATCTATCTTGGGACCCCCCCCCCCCAGTTTTGTAAATGAGGATGCTGGTTTTCGAGGGGATTCATTGAGGCTTTTATTTTATTTTATTTTTTTTAACTGGGCCAGGGAATGGCCCAGTGGGTGGAGACACCTGCTGCCGAGCCCAAGCGGCTGAGCTCCAGCCTTGGCCCCATTATGGAAGGGGAAAACAGATTTCCACTCAAGCCCCCAACAACAAATAAGTAAATATAAATAATTATTAAAAAATAAAAAACCCCACCAGGTGTGGTGGTGCATGGCTTTAATCCCAGCACTCAGGGGGCAGAGGCAGGAAGACCTCTGTGAGTTTGAGGCCAGTCTGGTTACAAAAGAATTAAAAAATTAAATCCCTGAGACCTTGTTTAAAGGGTTTTTATTTTACTTTACTCGGGAGCGTTTTTGCCTGTGTGAGTGCACCATGTCCATGCAGTGCCCGCAGAGACCAGAAGAGGGTGTGAGATGCCCCAGCACTGGAATTATAGAGGGTTGTAAGCTGCCATGTGGGTGCTGGGAACCGAACCTGGGTCATCTTCAAGAGTAATGCCTACTCTTAACTGATGAGCCATCTTTCCAGCCCCAGTTCTTTTTTTTCCCCATGATATTTATTGAGCTCTACATTTTTCTCTGCTCCCCTTCCTGCCTTTCCCCTCCCCTTCAATCCTCCCCCAAGGTCCTCATGCTCCCAATTTACTCAGGAGATTCTGTCTTTTTATACTTTCTACTTCCCATGTAGATTAGATCTATGTAAGTCTCTCTTAGTGTCTGCATTGTTGTCTAAGTTCTCTGGGATTGTGGTTTGTAGGCTGGCTTTCTTTGCTTTATGTTTAAAAACCATCTATGAGTGAGTACATGTGATAATTGTCTTTCTGTGTCTGGATTACCTCAATCAAAATAATGTTTTCTAGCTCCATCCATTTTCCTGCAAAATTCAAGCTATCATTATATTTTTCTGCTATGTAGTACTCTATTGTGTAAATGTACCACGTTTTTTTTCGTTTGTTTGTTTTTTGCCATTCTTCGATAAAGGGGCATTTAGGTTGTTTCTAGGTTCTGGCTATGACAAACAAAGCTTCTATGAACATAGTTGAGCACATGTTCTTGTGGCACGATTGAGCATCCTTTGGTTACTGATTTTTTTTTTTAGTTAATAGTTTTTTTGTTTGTTTGTTTATTATGTATACAATATTCTGTCTGTGTATATGCCTGCAGGCCAGAAGAAGGCACCAGACCTCATTACAGATGGTTGTGAGCCACCATGTGGTCGCTGGGAATTGAACTCAGGACCTTTGGAAGAGCAGGCAATGCTCTTAACCTCTGAGCCATCTCTCCAGCCCGCATCCTTTGGATATATACCCAAAAGTGGTATTATTGCCATCCCCAGTTCTTAACTCTGCATGTGAGCTCCACGGGGCACAGACTCAGACCTTTAGCCCCTCCTGCAGTCCTCCTCTGTCTGTTTTTCCCAGTAGGTGGTAGACAGACCAGGTTCTGAGTGTCTGACCTGAGTCTTGGGTTCCCAAGGCCTGCAAGCTGCTGGCTTCTCCTGAAGCTGCCTGTGCTCCTCTACAGGGTCCCTGGATGCCCACCGAGCTCCTGCTCAGACCCTGAATGAGACCCAGAGGGCACTGGAGAGCTTGAGGTTGCAACTGGGCTCACAGGGAGCCCTGCATCACAAGCTGAGACGGCTGGAGCAAGAGTCTGCTCGGCAGGAGCTGCAGATCGAGAGCTTTGAGAGTGACCTCGCTGAGATCCGCGCTGACAAGCACAACTTGGAGACCATTCTGAGCAGCCTACCAGAGCACTGTGCCAGCTAGACCCTGTCACCCCCTCCCCACCTTGCTGTTACCTGCCCACTCCCCATAGGTGTCCCAGGTCTGCCTGCTGTGTGTGCATGTGAATGACCACACTCCCTTGCTGGTATGTCCTGATCCTCTTCAGTGTGAGTGGCAGGAGAGAGTACATGCTCATCCACAGGTGGCCCTGTGTGTGGCCCTGCACACGCATCAACACCCCCCTCAGTGTGTGCTCCCTGCACACGCATCAACACCCCCCTCAGTGTGCTCCCTGCACACACATCAGCACACACCCCCTCTCAGTGTGTGCTCCCTGCACACGCATCAGCACACACCCCCTCAGTGTGTGCTCCCTGCACACGCATCAGCACCCCCCCTCAGTGTGTGCTCACTACACACGCATCAGCACCCCCCCTCAGTGTGTGCTCCCTGCACACGCATCAGCACACACCCCCACAGTGTGTGCTCCCTGCACACGCATCAACACCCCCCTCAGTGTGTGCTCACTGCACACGCATCAGCACACCCCCCTCAGTGTGTGCTCACTGCACACACATCAGCACCCCCCCTAGTGTGTGCTCCCTGCACACTCATCAGCACACCCCCCTCAGTGTGTGCTCACTGCACACACATCAGCACCCCCCTCAGTGTGTGCTCCCTGCACACACATCAGCACACCCCCCTCCAGTGTGTGCTCCCTGCACACGCATCAGCACACCCCGTGTGTGCTCCCTGCACACGCATCAGCACACCCCCCTCAGTGTGTGCTCCCTGCACACGCATCATCACATCCCCCTCAGTGTGTGCTCCCTGCACATGCATCAGCACACACCTCCTCAGTGTGTGCTCCCTGCACACGCATCAGCACACACCCCTCAGCATCAGTAAGAGGCATGTCGTTTACGTGTATGTGTAATGCACTTGTGTGTTCAGAACCATCTGTGCATAAACACACATGACAGTCCGGAGCTGTCAAGAGGCAGCTATGAGCTTGGATGCATCCTGGGTGAGCCCTGTTATGAGAAATCCTATGACATATCTACAGCCCTCCCTCCAGAGAGTAGAACTCAAACAGCAGTGGCACCTCCAAGGCTGAGAAGTTATCCACAGAGACCCATACCCATGGTCACAGAGCTGGCCCTGGGCCTACTGTGCTCCCATATCGCCCACTGGTCACGGTCATGGGCAACTCTGAGAATTGAGGTGCCAGGCAGATCAAGAAAGGCCAGGATTCTAATGATCCTCAGAAATGTCATCCAAGGTCGTGGTGTGGCTTGGGAGGCCCACAGGGCAAGGCACAGATGTTATTGTCTTTTGTGGACTCGTTCCCCCAGGGATCTGGGTCTGCAGCAGTCTCATTGAGGGAAGTGCCAACCCGGACCCATCCTCCTCAGTCCTCTGATCTACCTGAAGAACCAGGTTCTTCAGGGGCTGGGTCATGAGGCCTCAAATAGGCACTAGGAATGGCCCTTGGTGCCCTGTTGACCTGGTTAGCCTTTGATTGACTTTTCTCAAACCGGTCTTGTGGCCCCACCTACCATGAAGGATGCCACAGGGGTGTGGAAGCCTGGATGTCATTCTAGGCCTGCTGCCCATGGCTGCCTCCACCCAGGAACCCCTGGCATTTCTTCCTGATGTTCCCCATCTTTTTCTGGGCCCTCTCTTAGTACACAGCAGGGCCTAGGCCCTGGGATAAGAGTCATGTTTGCCAGCACCGCCCCTTCCCCAGGTCCCAGAGGAACTGATGGTGATGTGAACCAACTCTGATTATGAGAAAATAAAGGACCCTTTTCTGAGCCGGGTGCTGTGTCTGATCCTCCAGAGCTGGGGGGCAGCCAGGGCCTCCTGTGGGTATGTGGCTGGCACAGCAAGTAGGTAGAGTCTACATTTGTAATCTCCAGATGTGGGGAGCAAGTTGGCAGAACTGGGCCCATGCCATGCCAATGTCTGTCATGACAGGCTTTGCGGGGGCCATATGATCACCCCATTTCCTCTCAGATCCAGGGGGCTTTCAAACAAAGGCTAGAGGCAAAGAGGTCTTCAACTGATTCCTGATTCAGGATGAGATGCTGAGGCAGGAACCTGAACTTAAAACTGTCCAGTAGCACTGCAAGGAGCAAGGAAGGACACCATCATGTGGGAGGACGGCTTGGGTCTGGGCGTAGAAGGATGGAGGCCAGAGGAGAGAATATCCCAGATAAGAGGATGGGCAGCAGCCAGGGCTGCAGGGCAAGGGCCTGGCCAGCCTAGGTCACTGTAAACCTAGGTTAAGGTTAAGGCAGGTTGTAAAGCACACTCTAGTCTACCAAGGCTTTTAGCTTCAAAACCAAACCAATTCCCAATTTACCTTCAACAGAAAAGTGGAGGTCATCGGAAGGGTGATTTGGAATCTTGTGCCAGGAAAAGCTGCCAGGCTACAGAGAAACCTGGAGATTGGAGCTTGGGGCTGCTGTGGTGGGCAGCTTCTTCCTTCTGCCTCCTTTTTCGGTCCCAGCTCTGCTCCCTCTGCTTGTTAGGTCTTGTTCTGCAAACCAGCTTTCCTTTCTTTTCCTTTAGTTTTTCTTTTCTTTTTTCTTTTCTCTCTTTCTTTCTTTTTTCCTTCCTTTTTTTCTTTCTTTTTTCCTTCCATTTTCTTTTTGTTTTTTGAGATAGCATTTCTCTGTGTAGTCCTGGCTGTCCAGGAACTCCCTCTGTAGACCAGGCTGGTCTCAAACTCAGAGATCCTCCTGCCTCTGCCTCCCAAGTGCTGGGATTAAAGGCGTGTGCCACCACTGCGGGCACGCAACAGTCTTTCTTGAACCTGATGGATGATGACAATGTACAGGCCCTCGCCAAAGCCCTGGGCTTGCCTATCATCAGGTTATTATTTTTATTTTGATATTTTATTCATTTTTATTTTATATGTATGTGTGTTTTGCCTGCACGCGTGTCTGGGAACCATATACGTTCTTAAGATCCTCTAGAACTGAAGTTATAGACAGTTGTTAGCTGCCACGAGATTATTGGGACCCAAACCCAAGTAGACAAATAGACAATTCTTTTACCTGCTGAGCCATTACTCCAGCACTAGGTCGAATATTTAAGTGGTCAGGTCCCCAGCATGGTCAAAATAACAGGGACTCCTGGTCCAAGGCTTTGTGATGAGGCATGCCCTACATCTCCCTCCTGGAGTTATGGGGGAGGCAGGGCCAGTGTTCAGGGGAGAGGCACATTCCTCCAGAGAGAACCTCAAAATCAGGGTTAAGGTGAGGTTGATGTGGTATTTTTTTAAGCTGAGTGGGACTGACTTGGTGGGTTTGCCAGGGTCAGGGTAGAAAGGCTAAAGATAGGCAATTGGGTGCATAGTTCTGGTGTGTGTGAGCCAAGGAAATGGGACAGGATCTGACATCCCTAACTCCGTTTCTCGGCTGATAGATGTTCAACCCCTACCCACTTGAGCCATGATGCACAGCAGTACCCGGTCCCAGCATCCCCCAGTGGGTGGAGACTTCCTCTCCATTCCTGGGTGACAAGTCTCAGGCCTGACATGTGACTCATGCAGCATGGTCATGCCTGGTGTCTGCAGAGCCACTCAACAGCCCAGAGGTGGGGCTGCTCATAACTGGGTGGAATATAGCAGCAGCTGAACATCTGGCTAACACGGCAACCAGCCGAGGGGAGAACTCGGGGTGGCCACTGCCCTATCCCACGGAACAGCCAGGAACAGCTGTTGTGTACAAATAATTCTCCTCTGAGGTTAAGGCATCCCATCCTGCAGGGGAGCTCCAAAAGCAAGGAACTAAACAACTGAAAACAATAGCTTCAAGAACTCCCTGAAACTGACCAGGCCCCTTCCTAGGTCCTTCACTAGGCCCCTTCCTGCCAGGGTAAGCAGACCCCACAGCAAAGAAGACTCTGTAACAAGAAGAGCTGCCTAGAAAGGTTAGACCAACTGAGGTACCTGGAAAGGGCACTCTCCCTGCAACCTTACTGAGCCATCCGCAGCTGGCACTGTTCTCCATCGATTCCCAGCTTTGTGAGCTGTCACCCATGCTACAGTGGGCTTTGGTGACACAGCTGTCTGTGAGTCACTTCTGCTCCTGTCAGTAGCCCTTCACCCGTATTCCTGTAAGTAGCCCCAATGAAACTCATTGGCTCACCAAGTTGGACTTTGGTGGTATCCATACTTCAGTCTGTCCGGGGTTCCCTGAATAGGTGTGTTAGGCACGTGTGTTGTGTCTCCCCAAGAAAAGTTTTGGAACACAGCAGCAACCAAGCCAACTAGCTGGGGCGATAGGCAGGCTGAGACTAGACCAGCGAGTGCCCTGCTCTGAGTCCAGTTCCTGCCCGAGCTTCCAGAGAGAGCACTACCATGTAGGCTTTGACTTCTCACTTTACACTCCAGTCCCTGCTTCTGTTTCCCATACTCTCCTCAACAGGGAGCGTGGGATGAATGAGCGGGCAGAGGGGAGTAACCTAGGAGCAGGGATCCCTGCCCTCTGAACATCTTTGGTCCCGTTAGCCCCATCTCATTCTGTCTGGCCCCTCCCTGTGTGAACCTGACCCTGTTTATCCCCTAAAAAGGGACAGCCATCTGGTCCCAGGATCCCAATCTAAGGAGTCCAGACCTGAGACAGACTGGGGAAGGGGAATTCCTGGACCAATCCCCAGACACGTACTGGAGGTGGTGGTGTCTCCTTCCCCTCGCCGCCGGGACAATCTTGATTATGTGCCTGTGTCCACAACTGAACAATTCGACCAATACCCTTTCTCTAGAAGAGCGTTCGCATTGGACACCGGAATGCATGGTCTTTTTCTTTATAAGTCTGCAGTTCTTGCATCCATAGCCTGGCTTCATCTGACTGCTTTCTTCATCACTCAATGGACTTGTGTCCCAGGCTTCAGCTTCCAGACTACTTTTCTTTCAAATTACGCATACCTGTCCTATTTCATAGATTGGGGGATGGAATGACACAGAGGAAAATGTCAGGTAACCATGAGCGCCCAACAAAGTCTTTATTAACAACATACATATTTATCTAATTGATTTAATTGGTGTCATAGTGGCACTACCTGGCAAAGACGACAGTAAGGTGACGACAGCCTTTATTGGCACTTGATCTTCACAATCAGCTCTGCTCTGCGTACTTCTCACTGAGTTGTGACATTGTCTCTTCTGGTGACGAGGACCGGGAGAGAGGGCGGTCCCGGTCCCGTTGTGCATTTTTCGTGTCCTCCAGTAGAGGGGCGGCGGCGGGCTAGGCGTCCAGCAAAACAGCCGCTTTGATGCCCTGGGCGCGCGAGGCAGCGGGGAGGGGCGCGGGAGGCGGGTCGCCAGCGGGGCGGGGTGTGTCCGGCCTCGCGGTCCCTCCGCCCCTGGGTCCCGTCGCCACACGCCGCTGAAACTCTGGACCAGGCGCGCTTTCCTCCCCGTCGTCCCTCGCCGTGACCAGAGTCGGGCACGCACCATGTCGGTCGCGGTCAGCAACAGGTTCCAAGGTAGGCGCCTGCTGTCCCAGCGCTGTTCCGCGCTCGGCGTCCCCGAGTCGTCACCTGTGCGCGCGGCGCGGCACGCGCGGTAACTCGCAGGGGTCGCGTGGCCCGGGAGGTCGCCTCGCTTCCCCGCCGCCTCTTTGTCTCCCGCAGGAGGGAAGGCGTTCGGCTTGCTCAAAGCCCGGCAGGAGAGGAGGCTGGCGGAGATCAACCGGGTAAGCCGCACCACCGCGGGGTACAGCGTATGGGTTCCTTGTACCCCACTGTGCCACCCCATTCCCCCAGACAAAATCAGCCCCTTCTTCCCCCATCCCTTGCCTTCCCCAAGTACATCTCTAGCCCCTGCCGTGTGGCCTCCGACTCCAGGTAAGTCCACTCCACCCCTTAGCTCTCTGCCTGGCGGTCTCCGGTTGCAAGTTGTAACTCTCTGACCAGGGAGGTGGGGCTGGTGAAGGAGCCCAGTGCAGGCGGGCAGGGGCTTCTCGGGAGCTCACTGCGGACCACCTAAGGGTTTTGGCGCCAGAAGGGACCCCCCGGGCTAGCGCTGTCTCTGTGGACGAACCACAGAACTTAACACTGGGGGTTGGCTGGCAAATGCTGGCATTTCTCAGTCGCCTCCCCCCTCCAACCCCAACACACAGCTCTTTTTCACCAGCTTTTAGAAAAGTTGCCCGAGGGACTGCTTTTTTTTTTTTTTAACCGGTCCGGGGAAGTTCTAGAAAGAAATCCTTCCGCTGCTGCCAGACACACAATAGCAGCTCCGTAAGTTTGCTACTGAGCGTGTAGATCCCAGAAGATAAAGAAAGGTGTCAGGGCCTCCTCGATTGGCAGAGCCCCGGAGGTGGCACAGTCTGTAGCTTTATGGTTCTCAGGATCCGGGTTCAGACATGACTAGTGTCTTCAGTAAGGGTTTCTCACCTCCCGCAGGGTCGCTTTTTCGGCTCAGTAAGGCAGGGAGCTGGCATGCTCTAGGGTCTAGCTTTAGGGAGATATCTCTTAAGTGTATTAGAGATTTCTCTTTTCCTTTTTCTTTTTTGCTGTACTGAAGACTGAATCCGGGACCTTCTCCATGCTAGGCAAGCACTCTACCATTGAGCTGTTAATACACAGGGGTGCAGAGGTAGCCCACTGACATAAGGCCCTTATCTGCCCCTTGGGTCTCTGGATACCCAGGGGGATAAGCTGTGGGTCCCTGGTGGAGAGCTGGGTCAGCACACTGGATGTGGGGGCTGTGATGCCGCTGAAGTATTTCCTCCCGATTCCTTTCTCTATTCCCATGCATGCACTGCCTAGACCTAGGTAGGCATGTCTCCTA